GTATTTCTCGGCCTCGTCGAAGTTGATGTACTGCGCCTGAGGCAGTTTCCGGGTATTTTCCAGAGCCAGCTTGGAGAAGTAAACGCCTGGCTCGATGGTGACCACCATGCCCTCCTCGAGCAAGGGGACCGACTGGCTCATGGCTGGGATGAAGTCCGGTCTGCAAGGTCTGTTAGGCAGCCCCATGCCCGTGATTGGCTTCTCGGACACGTCGTGGACTTCCAGTCCAACGTGATGGCCCAATCCGTGAGGAAAGAAAATGGCCGACGCCCCCGACACGCGAATCTCCTCAACGGTGCCCGGTTTGAGGACACCTAGCTTCTGCAAGCCTTTAATGGCTATGTCGTGGGCAAGCACCTGCAAGTCGCGGAACCGCACACCTGGTTTAATGCGCTTGATACACTCCTCCTGCATCTCTTCTACGATTTGGTAGACGTCGCGGGCATATGAACTGGGCCAATCGGCGGCCAAAGGAAAGGTGCGGGTCACGTCACTTGCGTAGCACTCCCACTCTGCACCTGCGTCCAGACAGACCAGCTGTCGTCCTTTGAGAGGCTCGTTGTTCTTCACGTAGTGGAGGGTGGCTGCGTTGGGTCCCGATCCAGCAATGATCTCGTATGCTTGGTTCTTCGCTCCGTGCGACACGCAGGTGTCGAGGAAGAGGCCTTCGATCTGGGCTTCATTGGACATTTTGTGGATTTTCTCGAGCACTTTGCGATGGGCCAACCCGGATATCTTGTTGGCGCGGCGTATCATACGAAGCTCATATTCATCTTTAACCACCCGCGCCGCATCCATTGCGGGCAGCAAGCGCTGATCATCTAGGTTCAGCTGCCGGAGAATGAATTGGGGTTGCTGGGAGCTATGAAGGATGTAGACTGGAGCGGCATGATTGTATTTCTCTACCCACGACTGAATATCGCTCTGTAGGGAAGCATAGTAGCGCACTTTGTCTACGTCAAACCGCCGTTCAGCCTCGTCTGTGGTCAACGTGGGCCCCATCCATATTGCGCGGTGCAGGTCAAAGTCCGGAACATAGAGAACCAATAAGTCATTGTTGATATCGTAGGTAAGAAAGCAATCTGGCTCATCGGCTCCACTAAGATAGTAGAAGTACCGTCGCTGTCGAAAGGGTTGTGGTTGGTCGGAATCACCCCAATTGATGGTTGGTTTCCCAACCAGGTAGATAAGGCCGCTGGACACTCCCAGCTTCATTGCGACTTTGCGCGCATGTTGTTTGGCTGCGCCGGGACTCCCTGTTAGTCTTTGGGCGCCCCAGGATTAACGCAGGAGGAGAATGATAAGGTGAGGGAGGAGAAGAGTATATAACTTGGGGTCACAGCATGAGACATACCTGGATACTTATCGATCCCTTCGCCGCGCACCGTTACGTTGAGATCGCAGGCACCAAGGCTCGAGACAAGCTCCGGCGGGATTGAAACACGCATCCTGTTGCTTACCACGGTCTACAGGCAGAAAGGGGAAAGGAGGACCTATACAGACAGGCCTGTCACAGAGGTGAGGGACCTGAATGAAGGCACAAGAAGGGAGATAGAGGGACTGGAGGAGATAAGACAGCGCTTAGAAAGCGAGAGGAGGGAGAGAGAGGGAGAGGAATGACAGCCAGCGATAGCGTGTCTCTCTATCGGGTTTAGACAGGGTCTCCGGCGGAGTCCATCGGTCTGGTATTATTACTACCCTGGAACAGCTAGCATACCAGGGAATAGGGTGTGACGGATGGCCTGGCCAGACTGTCCATACAGTATCTTACAGACAAGAGATACGTCTTTAATGTGAGATGATTGAAGAGTGACGGATGATTAAGTTCCCTGATCAGGCATCCAAAGGGACTCTTGGAGTGCCTCATCCCTTTTCCCTGGACTGCTTGGGACCTTGCATGGACAGTTATTTGGGGAGACAACTTAGTTAGCCAGCAGACATATGTAGGAGTGTATCTGATCTCAAACGTGGCCCATCTAATTCCTATATCTCTTTCAAGAGTTCACAACATGCCTTAAGTGCTGTCATCCGAAAGCATCGAGCGCATCGCCCGGAAGCGTCGCTGCCTTTTCGCCCCCCACATGCGCCTCTCTCTCTCTCTCTCTCTCTCTCAGTCACTCTCTCGACCTGGGCTTCTGCTTCTTGGTTTCTGGTCCCGACCTCCAACTCTCCCCATTTGAATCTCCCTCATCATCGCTCCTCATCTCTTTCCCACTCCTCTGCAACTTTCCCATCTCTCATTCCTTCCCTTCCCCTACGCCTTTCATCTACCCGCCATTTCCCTAGTGTCGCTCTCCCTCCTTATCTAATTATTCAGCTTAGCGTTACCATCTCTCCGCCAGCGAGTCCGTGTCGACGCAACATCTCCAACCAGTCAATGAACGATGCGGGGATCTGAGGCATCGGGGCCCGGTGCTCTCTTTGATGCTCCCTCGACTCTTGCCACGTCCCTTGGAATCAATCCCACCGCTGCTCCTGAACCCCCTCCGACCGATCCCAAATTAGTCGCCTCCAACATCGAGCATGTCTTGTTGTCCATGTCAGAAGGCAATGGCGGTCTAGTTAGCGTCAGTGGCAACTCGTCGGGTTCTACCGGCAAGGGTATCCTGATAGGCGTCCTCTCTGCCTTTGGGTCCGCTGCCGTTGCAGTGCTTGTACTCGCCGTCTTCTTTTTCTTCAAATACACTCAGCGTGGTAGAATCATTCTCGATCGCATCGGCCGACCGGGTGAATTCGACGATGAACAAGCGTTTGCGCGCGAGGAGGCGGAAGCCTTGGAGACGATGGATGATCTCACGCGATCGGAGTATATGAGAGCGAAGGGTAAGTCACCGGCTCTTTGTCCATTCCCTTGGGCGAACGACGACCATGGGATCTTGTCAAGCATGACGTATGTGCATTTGTCGCTGATACAACTACAGCGTTCATCGAAGCCAATCCGCCCGAGTCCGTACAAACCGACATATCGCTCTCTCAATTCCTCGCGATTCAAGAGAAAGGCGTATCGGCCTGGGAATTCCAACCAGAGCTGGAAATTGCCAATTGTTTTGTTGAAGGCCGTACCGAAATCGAGTTTTACGACTCGGAATGCAGTGTCCAGACCAATTTGCCTGTTCCAAAACAAAATGATGTCTATTACTGGGAGGCTAAGATCTACGACAAACCTGATAATACTCTTATCAGTATTGGGATGACTACGAAACCGTATCCCTTGTTCAAATTACCAGGTGCGTCTTTGGGCGTCTTGTTGGGGAGAACTACCGGTCATCTGACGGTCGCTAATTTGTTGCTTATGATGTCAGGCTTCCACAAGACTTCGGTCGCATACCAGTCCACGGGCCATAGGAGGCACAACCAGCCGTTTGCACCAACACCATACGGTCCTCACCTTCTGCAAGGTGATGTGATCGGCGTAGGGTATCGACCTCGCTCGGGTACGATCTTCTTCACTCGCAATGGCAAGAAGCTGGAGGACGTCGTTCACGGTCATAAAGCGCAAAACTTCTTCCCCACTGTTGGAGCCAATGGGCCTTGCTCTGTCCATGTGAACTTCGGTCAGATGGGTTTCGTGTTCATCGAGGCCAACGTCAAGAAATGGGGTCTGGCCCCAATGACTGGTAGCCTGGCTCCGCCTCCGCCTTACGGCAGCGAGCAAGGCAGTATCCTACTAGAGTCGGGTCGGGAGAGTGCAGCTCAGATTTCCCAACGGGTCTACCAGGATGCCAATAATGCACGCACCAGTTCGACTGTCCGTGTTGCGCCATCTGCCAGTCCCGGCCCTGTGCGGTCACCCACCGACATTTCCTTGGCTCAGCTTGCCCATATCCCGTCGAACGAGGACGTTGGCGAAGGATCCAGTCGAACCAACGTCGTCGATGGTGAGCAAGTCCCCTTGTTGCATACAGACGATCTCGACCAAGTCCCACCTCCCGAGTATTCCAGTCCGGACGGCAGTCGGAGAGGCAGCGAGGACCTGCACTCTGACGAACAGCCTCCGATACCTAGCTACGACGCTGCTGTTGGCAACCGCGACGGTCACGGCACGCATCCCAACGAGACTCCTTGAAAGGCGACCGAGGCTTCCGCATATATTGTTATCGTTTATCCATCAGTTATTGGCGCAGCGTCTCTTTGATGTGTATACGGCATGTTTCAGCCACTGGTTCTATTTCTACTACTGTTCCCTGATTTTAGCGGCCACGGTCGGCGTTCCACAGGCGGGATTCTACGGGTTAGGTTTCACGGTTACGCCGCTAGACGTGGCAATGATGAATTTTACGTATATAGGGTCTGGTCGTTTCTGTCTTCATATGTCATTTGGAACATTTGTCTCGGTTGAGGTCGTGGACACCTTGCAGGGCCGAATCTCGTAATGCTCACGTTCCCTTCGAGTTGAGGCGGTTGGCAAGGGTCTTCTCGGCCTTGACCGACCGAACGAGAGGACAAATGCTGTTCCAATGATAACCTTGTTTCCTTGCGCAATTCGTGTCAAAAATGGGTGCTATTGAACTGGGTGGATCTATCGCGGTGTTTGTCTGGGAGTACATTTTTTTCATGGCTGAACACATACAGTGGCTATTTATATCATTCCTTGTCTGCGCTTCCCTGTATCTTCTTGTGTATGTGTAGCAATCGAAGTGGTCATCTGCTCTTGCGCCGCTGTATAACCAGCGGCAAGGAAATATTTTGCATCAAGAGTATTGACAATCAGGTAGCACGGCGTATATTAACCAAGTAAGTAGCCAGTAGATCGTAGTTCGTAGAACCGGTCCATCAACTGCCCCATTCCCCCACATGTTCGACCCAATTAATGTTATTCATTATTACTGCTATCTATTTAGCTAGTATTATACTAACAGTATCTATAATTATCCAGTGATATTCAGCGCTGGGATTATTTCCGGGAACAAGGCTCAATCTCAGTCCCTCTGTTGCTCCTTCCGCAACCAGCGCGTCATCGATCAGTGCCAGTCAGTGACTCTCTGCTCAACCTTCCCCCCCAATCGTTCTCTTTCATCATCATATTCCATCCATTTTCATCCTCCACATTGCATTTCTCCGTTCGCACGGAAGATATGCATCTCCAAATACCCACTAGACGACGTCCACCAGCACTGCATCGCACGATTATCTTCATCCTTGATCTTCCATAGACTGATTCGACTGATTTTGCCGGTTATCTTCTTTCAACGCATATGATAGAGTTTCTGTTCCTCCCTTGTCCCTTGGCTGGTCCTCGTACTGCAATGGCTCACCTTCCCTGCTGCTTTTCTCGGTCGGACATTTCCTCCCATTAATCTTATCTTCTCTTAGTTGAATCACTCCGCAGATGTGAAGCAACAACAGTCACCAGTATATTGAACTTCACGCGAGTCACTTGTATAAAAGTCATCTCTATCACTCTAAACAATACCTCTTATCACTCATTGGCTCCCAAACACGCTCGCTCAATTTTGCTTTTGCCGCCAACGGTGATTTCCGACTTCCCCTCCAGCCACTGAATCATCTGTTCAGCCCCGGCCGTTAGCGTGCTGCAGGTGCCCAGTGGCGAGCGAGTGACCGCCAACAACTGGTGCGCTAACTGGCCTGGTGCGACGCAGCTTTGCCCCAGATTCACGGGGAAGTGCCGCCCCCAACAGTGGACGCGCTGGGGGTTTGGCAACCTTTTGTCGCATAGGCCTGGCTGCCAGCCTGACCGCTACCTAGGTTGAGAAGCATCACGCAGCTCTCCAAGAAGAACGGGGAAAGTTTCTTCTCTTCATCCTCACCACACCTCTCGACTTGACGTATACTAAATCGAGGAAGTTACAGCCGCCCACGGCCACATCTGCACAATCAAGCGAGGGTGGTGTGCATTCAATATCTGCGCTCAGCCGCCCTAGGTGGAGTATATGCATTTTGGCCCTTGCTTATTCTCCGGCCAGATACGCAGTGCAACAACGGCGATAGTTTCCAGTTTGTGGAAACTGCTTTATAGCTTCATCCCGATAAAAAGCGTAAGGATCGCCTGGCCCAGATCCTTGGGGTATCCACACAAGGTCCGGCCGCTACCCCAAGTGGTTCTCTGAAAAAGGGCTAGAGTTCGTCCGGAAGGGCTATTTTACTGGGAGTCCAACACATCCCATCGATTGCTGGTTCAATTGATGCCCTGGCGACTTCTGCCTTGAGCCATATTCACACTCAAAAATGCAAGAGTCTGAATTGCCTTTTGTAGGCGCAAACCCTCCAGAAGCAGCTGGCCAAGGAGATGGACCAGGTCCTCCAAGTCTGCAGATAATCGTGCTGGTAAGTTTTGTCTCACATGCTGTGTTTGTCAGTCCCGTGTGGCCATGACGTTGTTCTTTACACATGATTGCGAACCCTGAAAGTCTGCCTACTGGCGAGTCCGATCACTAGCATCAATGCGCCATGTCTCACACTTCTCCCCGCGCTATGTTCTCGAACTCTCACTGCACCTCAGCCCGTTTCATCGCTAGCGAGTTTCGCTTTCAAGGCCGACCACTAACGCTTCCCTTGAAAGGGTCCGACAGGAGGTCCCCGTGAGGATAGAGTCACTGGACTTCTGGTCCGATCCACATCCACCAAATGGTCCGCAAACTCGATAGTAGCTGTTGATGCGGGCACCCTTCTATGTGGCATCATCGACACTTTGGAACCATGTGATAATAACCAAAAGTCGTCGGATCAGGGGCCATTTGCTGGGCTCGAACTGCCACATAACAATGTACCAGCAAATGCAGCTCATGTTTTCCGGCACATTATCGGCGCTGTCTGCATCACACATCCTCATCTAGACCACCTGTCGGCGTTTGCTATCAACACTCCAGTTCTGGAGGCTGGAAGTGGCGCGAAAACGTTGGCCGCCCTGCCTTCGGTGGTTGCTGCCATCAAAACTCACGTGTTTAACGATGTGATTTGGCCAAATCTCTCTGATGAGGATGGCGGTGCTGGCCTTGTTACCTACCAGCGTTTGATGGAGGGCGGAAACCCCATGATGGGGCGTGGTGATGAGAAAGGCTATACGCGAGTCTGCGAGGGCTTGTTGGCAAAATGCCTGGCTATCAGTCACGGGTGTTGCAGGCAGAGATCTAGCGTCGACAATGACATTCAACGCCGGATGAGCAGCGCCCCTTTTGGTGTCGACCCAATGAGGCTGAACCCAAGGGCCTATTCGATGTCATTTGACGAGCCAGAGACCGGCTACTTCTCCGGAGCACGTTCGCCAGGCTATCGCGTACCCGGCAAGGATGGCTGGGCAACCGTGGAGTCGTCAGCTTTTTTCATCCGTGAGCCTACGACAAAGCGAGAAGTGATCATCTTCGGCGACGTTGAACCTGACTCGATCTCAATGAATCCGCGCAACAGACGCGTGTGGGAAGCAGCAGCACCGAAGATCGTTGCCTCTCAACTACGAGCGATCTTCATTGAATGCTCCTATAACGATGATGTTGACGACGCCTCCTTATACGGCCATTTGTGCCCACGTCACTTGATCGATGAATTGATTGTATTGGCACAGAAGGTTACAGAATTGAAATACCCAGATTCGTTTTCGATAAGAAAACGCAAACGTGCGAGTGCCCCCGAGGCAGCCGGCGATCCAGCTCTCAGTCCCAAGTCAAAGAAGGCTGCTCTCGCTGGCGAGAAAAGTGGAGGAGGCTCTCGTCGGGGATCGGCCAGGACGTCACGTCGCCATACGCGTGCTAGAGTTGCTGTAGAAGACATTGACGAAAACATGGAAGGAAGCCCAGCCGTTTCCCACGCTCCCAGTGAAGTTGGTATGGATGTGTCGCTGGCAGAAAGTTCAGACCCTCTCACGGTGCTCCAGTGGCCAGAACCACCTCTGACCGGACTACTGGTGTATATCATACATATCAAGGACGATATGAATGATGGCCCACCTCCTCAGGAGCGGATCCTGCAAGAACTCAAGGCCCAGGGACAAGCTGCCGGACTAGGATGCGAATTTCGAGTCCCTACACGTGGCGAGAGCGTCTTGATCTGATGTCGGTTACCGCAAGTTCAGCATGGCTTGTCTACTTTGCACCGAACATGTCCGGTGCTCCTTGCTTCTTGTGACACCGAATCATGCCATAGAGGGGACATATCAACGGGCTATATCTATACGTGACTGTGGACCATGTCATATGAATCCACTTCTTATCTGGGGGCCTTGTCTGCAATGATGATCCTTGGTGCACACTTCTCTTACCTTTCCATTCCTATATGTTCCATCTTCTCTTGTTCTATCTTTTGGGGCGGCTTTTGTGAGCAGATTTATCTCTCGTTTACCCTTTTGCTATTGCATCATGTGATTTAGCAGATACCACCGGTGTAATCGAACATATTGTCATTAGAATCAGAGTGACAAACCCCCGGTCACTATGGCATGGCTATTTAGAGTGACCACAAGACAGTCATAAACACCGCAACAAAGTACCAGTAGATAATCCCGGAAAGAAGTCCTAAGAGCTCATCTCCTCAGCCTTAGCAATAACATCCTCCCAAGCCGCCCCCTCCCCCCTCGGAACCGTCAACCCCGAGCCCTCCTCCCCACCATCACCACCATCAGCAGTAGCAGCAGCAGCAGCAGCAGCAGCAACCCCACCCAGAACACCCTCCCCATCCCTAGCAAATTCAATCAACTCCTCCTCACTTCCCCACTCCCCCATAGCCATAACGCCCACCGGCACCCTCCTTCCACCATCCACGACATCATACCCAGCCGGACAACTAATCGCCGGACAGCCCGAGAAATTCGCCAACCAGACATACTCCATATTCCTAACCGTAGAGTTCCCATCCGACACGCCGCGCTTCAGATCCGCCTCGCCGCCGGCAATCTTCCACCCCGGGATTGGCGTCGTCGGCGTGACAATCATCAAGCCAGGGTGTTTCTGGAACAAGTGAGCCAGATGCGTCATGAGGCAGTTCCGGAGACGTTGCGCAGCGAGGAAATCCTGGCCTTTGATTTGCCACATGCCCATTGAAGCCATTACTTTGTTGGCGGGCGTGAGGTGCGAGATCTGGGATGGGGTGAGGGATGAGGTTACTTCCGAGAGGATGGTGAGGGCGTGCGCTTTTTGGCCTTCGGGGAGGTACGGGATTGTGATGTCGATTATCGTGTAGTTCTTGAGCTTGCGGTAGTGGTCGAGGGTCGCGTTGAAGATGGCGAGGACTTCAGGGGAGGCGCGGTCGATCCAGTGGCGGACGATGCCGATGGTTTTCGGGGTGTTGTTGTTGCTGTTGTTGTTTGGGGTGGAGGGGAGGGTCTGGAGTGGTGAGGGGAAGGATGCTGATACGGGGTCTGAGGATTCTGGGGCTGGCGTGGCCATGAGTCGGTAGGCGAGGGCTAGGTCGTCGATGTTGGAGGCTAGGGGCCCGTAGACGCCTGTGGTGGACGCCAGTGAGATGGTGGGAGAGCCGCTCACGCGGCCGTGGGTGGTCTTCAGTCCCCAGATGCCGCAGAAGGAGGCCGGGATGCGAATTGAGCCTCCGCCGTCGGCACCTAAAGCGATAGGGACTAGGCCTGCGCTGACGGCGTAGCCGGAGCCACCGGAGGAGCCGCCGCAGTAGTAGTCGGGGTTATGGGGGTTTCTGGGGGTGCCAAAGTTGGGGTTGTTGTTTGTGGTGTCTGGGGTGTGAAGGTGGTGGTTAGTTGGTTTATGAAGCTCAGATGAGGTATGTTGGGAGTTGCACTACTCACCAAGACCCAACTCGTGCATGGTGGTCTTGCCAATGATAATGGCACCGGCTTCCTCCCATTGCTTCACACACCAGGAGGTGCCCGTAAACTCGCCGGTGAAGTCGAGCTTGCTGCCCAGGGTTCGTCGGTATCCTTCCATATGTACTTCGTCTTTGATTGCGACGGGAATGCCATCCATTGGGCCCAGTGGCTTGCCATCTTTGTATCGCTTTGTAGAAGCTTCTGCTGCGGCGCGAATCTTGTCGACTTGCGAGTCTAGAAAGGCGATCGAGTGCTTGCCGGGTGGTTTGGCATCGCGGCGGATCAGGGGGAGTAGAATCTCGACGACGGCAAGGGGAGTCAGTTCGCCCGAAGTGTAGCGAGCGAGGTAGTCGGCCGAAGTGTAGTAGCCTGCATTGCTTTGTCGCTTTTGCGTGGGAACTGGCAGGTCGGCAGCGGGAGCATTGGGGTTAGCGACGGGAATCACGGTCGGATCATATCGGGCGGAGTATTGGTCGAGGGGAAGGTTGCGGATGACATCGAAGCCAGTGGTCCCCCAGAGGTAGTTCTGGATGAAGCCGATATTTTGGATACTAAAGAGGGGAGATGATTAAGCAGCTGTGGCTGAGGGGGAAGATGCGTGACGTGCAGCAGGTGAGAAAGGAAGACATACAGACTGGCGCCGATGGCCAAGGGAAGGCCGCGGATGACGGGGATCACCTGCTCCTCATTCTTGTACGGCACAGTGGGGCCCGGCCGGGCCTCTGGATAGTGGATGAATGGAATTTTCTCACCCATGATGCGATCAGGAAGTGTCGGTGAGAGTGGAGGAAAAAAGAAAGAAAGAACTTACGGGGGAGACTTCCTTTCTTTTTCCTCCAGCTTGATCGCCAAGCCAACCGGCCAGCCGTCACCAAGCTAAGCTCAGCTCCCGAACCCAAACAGCTGCTTATCTACTGGACCCCGGATTTCGGTCCGCATCTCGACCAGAAGTAGTTGGTAGCCACGGTCTATATACACATTGTTCTTCATTATATTTGATTATTTTCCCCTCTTCTTTTGAAGAAAGATGTCATGTCTTCGCCCATCTTGTATTTCAAATTGCCAACTTGATGTTGGCCCGATCCAATCCTAGTGCTACGCCTGTGAGCGCCGCGGCGTATGCGATAAGGATTGCCATCGCCTGGGCCGTACTGACATCCAGTGTCGGGACGCTCAGGTTGACAGCCCCCGTGAGCAAGTTGGCAACCAGGAAGATAGCCAGTCCGCCGCGGTTGAATGCCTTCAATATCCGGCTTGTCGCAAAAGACACCCGGTCGGCCTCACCGTCCTTTCCGGATGCCCGATGCACCGATGGGAAGAAAACTGTCTCCAGGAGACAGAAAAGAAACAGTTGAGCATTGTTAAAGGCAGATACCCAAACAACATACGGCATGTTAGCAAGTCGGCGCGAGACCGGAATGTTGGCGCCGTGGCCTAGTGCATAGGTAGAATTCAGAACGAAGATCGCAGACCAGGCGAGCGCTTGGACACCCAGGGTCACCAGAACGCCTCTTCTCGCCTGCTGGGGGGACCGTTGGGCAGTGGTGCCGCGAGGAATAATCCGAATACCAGTGGCACGGCCTGCCAGGAAAATCGCAAAGTATCCCAGGAACGAAAACACTCCTTCCCGGTTTTTGGAGAGCAAACTTGGTCCGCGAGGGGAAACAAGGATATAGCTCTTCAGTTCGGTCGATTCCAGAGCGACTTGATACAACACAGCAACTGCCAGCGAAAGGGCTTCATAGGAGGGAATAATGGCAGCCAGGCTGTCAAAGAGCTCCACGAAGGGTGGCAAAAGACCCAGGGTGAAAAAGAAGTTCCAATGCACGCCATACTCCGTCACATGCTCCGCATAGTCCAGCCCCTTCACGCTGTACAGCCTGACCAAACCCAGGATAAGCAGAGGGACCGAGTGCCGCGTGGAAGCTATCAGCCGCTGGCCTACCGGAGTCTTCCGAGTACCATTGCTTCGGCCCTTAAGCACAGAGCGAGCAGATACTACTCCGCCGGAGAACACGAAAGATCCCACACCCAAGTCCATGAGTGACGTGCCCCAGTTTTCCACCTTTGCAAACCGCCGTGGAAACGCCTGGAAGTCCACCGCCAAGATGGCTACACAGGTAATGATCATCATGGCTGCACGATATGTTGTCAGAAATGGGTGAATTGGTAAGGATTCGGGCATGTCCGCTGCATTCCTATCGCTTTGGGTCGGTTTCGGAGGAGGCTTAGCCTTTTGCTGGCTGCGGGGAGGTCTCGAGTTGAGAAACAGTAGGAGGGCGGGGGCGATCAGCAGGACGTTCAGCGTCCATGGCGCAGACGAGTAGACAGTCGTGGCAAACAGAATGGCCAGTACATTGAGCAGAAAGTCGGTCACCAGTGCTGCTGAGCTGTAAGGAGTGAAGAAGGAAAGGCGTGATTGTAGCGCTGACCATAAGAGAGCAGCGGCCTAGACCAATCCCGTAAAGAGTCAGCTACCACTGCCTGGAAGGTGTGACGTATCCCGGGCCATCGCTTCTGGACTGGTGGGATCGAACAGCTGTCAAGGGGAAGAGAAACGTACAGGTGCGACTAATGTAACAGCATTGATCTCAAAAATGCTGCCACCAGCAAGATCGGACACGAAGGCCTCTTTGCGAGCCTTGTAGCTGGGATCCATAGCTGCTACTTGCTTGGTCCAGAAGTCCAAAAAGGCCAAATGACCGATAGAGGGGTAGAAGGAAAAGGCAAACAATCAAATGTGTGTAAAGCTGCAGATAGATTGGAGTTAATCTTGCATTAGAAGCCCTACCCACCGACAGAGAGACGTGGCCGGCGCAAGGTAGGGAGCAGCAAGTCAACAAGTCAGTCAAGTCAAGTTCAAGGCAGAATGCAAGCAAGCAAGTAAAGTGAGTTGCGATGACGCGCGAACAAAAACAATCTGGCCGCTTTTAGTCTGGAGGACCTCAGGCCAGAAACTTCCCTCATTGAGGTTAGGCCGTACGGCGGGCTTGTGTGCCTGGAAAGAGGAATACCGAGTATGGTAATCCGGTTACAGATCCATACAGATCCATACAACCCCCCCGCCTTTCTGATTCGATTTTCATTTTCCCTTTTGCTTATCGTGTTTGTGTCTGTCTGCCTCGTCGACTTGCCACCTTTTCCATGGTCTTCTTTCCCTCCCTCTCAGCAAATCATCCTCTGCCATCTTTTCCTGCCTGGAATTTATATTTCCGACTTATCAATCAATCACCGTGTCTCTGGTTCAGACAATGTGGTGACTAACCATATATCCACTGTTCTCCATCTCATTGTTCATCACAATTACGTTGCTTGAAATGCCATACAGAATGAGCCCATATGCTTGAGTGCTCAGGAGTCTGAGACACAGAGACAGAAATAAAAGCAATTTGCTGCTTAAGCTGCATTCGCAGGGCCCGTTGTGATGGATCCCATGCTGGGGATGCAAGAAGATGAAAACAAAGGACAAGAAAAAAATCCAAGGCCAGCCAAGAGCTGTATCGAATTATCGTGCTTATGTGCGACAGACTGATCATGACTGCGGCGTGCGAGGTTTTCATTGGCAATTGATTAACACCTACCACCTGCCAGGCTGCCATTGCTGGAGCCTCCACAATATTTCCGATCTACATTCTCTGGGGGGCCAACCAGCTGCTAGCAAGGGGGCGTACCGGGTTTCACCCACGGAGCTTGCTAAGCATAATGGGGGGCACTAACTAACAACTAGATGCTTATACTATACTCCTACTGGAGCAGGGATGAGAAGGTGAGCCCCGGGGGGGACGGAGGTTCTCCGTGTCCCCCTGGTAGGACAACCACGCAGGAAACTGCTTTAGGCTATGCGTCGTTGTTTCGAGCTAAGGACCGGTTGGGGCAGCCCAGATTTAGCTCACAAGATATGCTGTGCCGCTTACTACATAATACTGAGTTTATGGTGCTTGCGTTGACATGAACAACGAACGGACGACTAATAAAAAACCATGGAATGCACCCATCACAGACCAATCAATCAGAGGGAAATGAATGATCACCAGCGAGTTTCAGTAAAGTACACGGCCGTCTCCCGTGCGGATGCAGCTTGGGACAATGATATGCAGCTATCAGGCCCACCGACCGGCTTTAGTACGGCTTTACCTTAGGAGATTATTTTTTAGGGCCATTCGGCCGACGACCGGTATGTTGGCCTTCCGTGTCCGGGGTACATTGACACTACGAACAAGCTCCAGCGCATGGTTTAAATTGTCCTGTCTAGTGCCTTGAACTGAATATTGCTGGGACATTTATTGATGTCAATTGTATATGAGCCTAAGTTCGCTCATCCCTGCAAAGCCAGCCGAGTTTCAAGGAAATGAGGCTGAGCAACAGGAAAAGCAAAAAAAGGGAAGAGCAGCAAAAGCGAGGGAGGGGGAAAAAAAGAAGTGGGATCCAGACTCCATTTGAACCTTTAGGAATAAAACCGACTAACCTGAGAAGGCAGGCACAATGTGCGTCATGCATCCACGTTCAGCCAGCCATTTCTCTCAAGGCCTTCTCATTGTCATGCTCCCGTTCCCTTCCCTCCCGTCGGATTTTGCCGTTTAGATTCGGGCACATTGCCTACTCCATCCCTCCCGTGGTGATTATTCTGGAGAGGGTATTTGGGAGCCGTCGGTTTCGATGTTCTACGGGGCTTCCTTCGCCGGGCGTCTCCCGACACGAGTCCCATCCGGCATTCAATTGGTTCTGATTACTCAGAAGGGCTTTTCTGGACCAATTTTCCGCTTGGCGCAGCAAATCGTAGTTGGTTTTGATGGAGGACCTGAGTGTGGACCCGATCTACTCCTCCTCGTGGCGAGCACAACCCCAGTGCTACCATGGTTCCGTCTGAACCCAAAGGGGCTGATTGCCTAGTATTTACTCCCTTCCCAAGGCTCCGCCCTTAAGGAGTCCGATAGGAACGTCCATTTCACAAACCTATTCGGGTAAATCGAGGAGGTGTCTGCAATCGCTGGTACGAACAGGCGGCAAGACGTCATTTGCTCAACCATGGGTGAGCATTTCCAACAGAGACACTCATGGGGTCAGGAGTGACTGTCCTGTCCACATCTGATAGCCTGGCAGATCCTGAAATCTGAGATTCGGGATCCTGGAACCGCTGGGGATCGTGCATACCAATGCAAAACCCGCAGATCGCTGGGAAAATGGTGGTCAGCCACCGTCGTACTTTGTCGGTAGTCTGAACAGCCAAAACCCACACCTATGGTCAGCTCCGCTTGGTCTCTGGACGTTCTAACCCTTATGGACAAAGTTGGTCGCTCTCGGTATTCCCCCGTCCCGCCTGCACTGCAGCGGCCCTCCAACTGCCAGTTTCTGACTGTCGGTCAGTCGGTTTACCCTCGACTTGATCTCTGTTTTGGGCTTAAGCCCCGGCATGGTGCCAAGGATTACTTTCTCCTGAGGTTGAACGAACGCCATGAAGCTTCTGTATGTGCCCCAGGGCGGCGTCGGTCGCCCATGGTTTTCATCTTCGTTTAATTTTGTACTTTTTTTCTTCTCCCCATTTCGATTTCCACATTTTCATTTTGGGGTTTGCTCTTTTTGTCTTTTTTTTTTCTTTCTGTTCGTTCGCTTAATGAAATAATGAACCCGCTACTGAATCGGGTCTGCCATGTGGCCCGGAAGGACTAAGATCCACCGGATGGCCAATACTACTACTACTACTAAATGCCGTACAAGAGATGATACTCCAGATGCAGATTCCGTGCTGGACATGCTCTAGGACAGGAGAGGGACAGCAACAACGTGCCAATCTGTCTCTGCTCTTTCGGGGTAACCGGCATAACGGCGTCGGTACTTGACTGGTGTACGCTGCCGCCACGCAACCAGGCCAACCCGTCTAGGGTGTTGAGGGGACCCTCCCCCCAAGTTGCGAATTAGAGCGTGCTTGTAGGTCGGGAGGGTCGGAAGGTGCTCATAGCGCTGCGCCGCTGACCCATCGTAAGAGCTACCTGAGGAAAAGCACTGCACCAAAAGCCGTGTGTGTTTCCCCCCTCCCCCTCCCCCTTCCTTCATAGGATTGGGCTACGAGGGATCTGCTCATTGGCGCGTCTTCGGGCCCCAAGCCAACGGTTGGTAACGAAAGTGTACGGTGTATTACCTACTTTACTGGTTTTACTGCTGATAACTAAGGAAGTTGGGGAGCTGGAGACTCCAAGCTGTCTGAGGCAGAGACAGGGACGATCTGGAGACCAAGCCAGGACTAGATCCTCCCAGGCCATACGTGCCTAATTATTGCCTGCACCAGTCAGAGTCTGTCTGAGCTGGAATGGGTCCTAGCAGCCATGCCCAAAATGGGCAGTTCCCTGATTCTTTTTCGTTCAAACGCTCAACAAAGATTATTCCACCACCGACCCCTACTAAGTAAGTAACTATTGTCTACCTACGTATCTACCCGCCCACCTTGTTCCTATCAGACGGCCTCTGTCCGTCCCCTTGGGTATATATATACCTAGTTTAGCGCGACCCACGCACTTGGAACCGCTATAGTCGCATCTTGAGAGGCGGGCTCAAGTACCTCTGGCGGTCCACACACCTGTCTGGGATGCATCACGTTGCCTATACGAATCACACTTATCACCTGCAATAAACCCTCTTCTGCTCTTCTTCTCACATCAACACCCACCTGAATACGATTTGATGCGCAGGATGAGCCCTACTCCAGAACCCCCCACGGCCAAAAAGCGCGAGTCCCGTGCTGGGGCGCGTAAAGTGACGTCGCTCTCTGCCGAACAGCTGGAGAGGAAGCGCGCCAACGATCGGGAAGCCCAAAGAACCATTCGTCAGCGGACCAAGGAGCACATTGAACGGCTGGAGCACCAAGTGGCCGAGCTGAAAGCCAAGGGGGAACAATTTGACGATGTCGTCCGACGGAATGTGGCGTTGGAACATGAGATTCGAGCTTTGAAGCATCAGCTCGCCCTGGCTGGTAGGCAAGGATATCCAGGTATGGGTAGGTGGCCGGTCTCGTTCGTTTGTGTCAGCTACGAAAAGAATTTGAAATGGCTGACAGAGATTCATTACGCATCAACAGAAGGAACTTATAGCAATGCTCCCGGGTCTATGCTCCCGGCCACGCAGTTTGCAGAGCCTCTGGGAATGAATCCAGCTTCTAGGGCCCCCTCGGTCATCTCCACGTCCAGTCGTGTCTCGGTAGGGTCGGAATGGCCACCCTATGGCACAAACCGGTCGCCTTCAACATGCGAATCGAGCGAGGCGAATTATGGAAATCGGGCTGAACCGTACCTGTTCGAAAATCAACTTCAGCCGGCGAGCACAATGTCCGTCGCGCCACCGCAGGTCAGCTACAGCGCGCCTGTCGGTGCTCAGCCAGACCCGACATTTCAATCGTATGCACAGGCATATCACACCGGGAACGCCCCTCGTGGACCGGTAGATGACCTAGCACCCCATCCTCCACAACCAGTTCATTACGTGCCTGGACAGCGGCCGATGTCAGTACCGACAATACCCACAGAAAGACCGGCAGGATATTCTCTCGTGCATGCGCCACAGCCATATCACCAACATACGCTTCCACCTCAGACACGGAATGACTACAGCTATGCCTGGAACCCGCATCAGTCGTGAGACGATGGACAAGCAAGTGGGTCTCTCACGAAAGGAAAGAGATTCTTGCAAGAGGCCAAGGCAATCACAGTTGTTGCTTGGAGGCTCAGCAAGCTATCGGATGATGGTTACGATCAATACTCTCCGACTCAACGCACGGGGAGGGCCTGGTATCTGGGACGCGAAACACTGCTGCGTGCAACTACGCAAAACAACACACACTTTCGGGCTGGTCATATTACACAGGGCTATCACCAAATTATCTGCATGAACTCGTGATGAAAGGTGCTTCATTGGATCCGGAAATTGGCTTGCCTCTCGCCTGGCATCCACCAAAAGAAAAAAATCCCCAGGGGTCCGGTTATCTCGGTGGCATTGGCGGTCACCACACCGTATCGTGGAACAGGGCAGATCTGACCCGTTCAGTCCCAGCTCCAGCTCTCCCGACGACCCGCCCCAGCAGAAACAAATCCGTGATGTTCGGCCCGCGAACACGACGAAATCTGCCGGCGGGAGATGATGGAACGGCAACTCCACGTTTGCCTCATGATTCGCTTGGATAGAGAGGGGGAGGGGGATGCAGAGGAATCAGATTACATGTTTCAATGGTAGACTGATTAGTCAATAGTATCTAGATTGAGAGAGAAAAGAAGAGAAAGAAAGTCGATAACCGAGATGCTACGAATCCACATGGTCGGTTTCAGATTCAACCAGAAAACCACAATATGATCATTTTCATCATCGTAAACATCATCAGAGCCCCAGAGTGACCCAGTGTATACTGGGCCCCCCTTTTTCCTCTTCATTGGAATATATTTTGTAAATTTTTTACTTTTTCCAGAACCATCTGCGTACCACACTTTCCATCCGATTAGCAAATCTTTCCATTCATTAGTATTTTTTTTTTTCCCCAGCCGGCCCGCCCACCGGCTCGTCTACCGGATTTCCTTTCTTTCTACAAGGCCCATCCATACTTTACTCGAAGTAGACAAAAGACATCAACCCCAGCTACTACTATCCACCTCCCTTTCAAAGATGATTCGAGCTCGGCAGAGTAAGCGTTGAATCCGAAACTAGCACAGAAAAAAGAACAACACAGAAGAAGGGGAAAAACAGGATCAAACCGGGGAGATCGGATCCAGAATAACTCCCGAAAACCCTCTCTCTCTCTCTGTATTCTTCTTCTTTCCTTTCCCTTTTCTGTGTAAGCTTCCGATCGGAACCAGCTTTCCATTCTGTCATTCGTCCAGGGCGGGTTCTTGTCCTCTCTCCAACCGAACCTGAACCTCTCCATTTTGGTCGCATGTTCAATTTCTTGGCTCTTGGCCTTGGCTTGTCTTGGCTTAGCTGGGTGGAAAAAAAATATGATATATCAAAAGAAGTTAATGCAGGTATATTTCGGTACAATGCTGCCGTTCAATAATGGTTATAGTATAGTTATTTTCGGTCGGATCGGTCGGATACGTTACTATACTAATCATAGTAATCCTTTAAGTTACGGTAGTAGTAGTAGTAGTAGTTTGATCGTACCTTTGTTAACTTTGGGTCGGATGGAGCCTACTATAACTACTAGATTTCAGCCTGCCTAGGCTGCTGCAGCCCTTAATTTATTTCTATTTATCCATCTGGTCTAAGTATAGTACTAGATGGTTAGTCTATTCTGGGTAGTAGTTGGTTGATTTAGTTCAAATGAATGTCGGGGAAGGGCGCGGGGAATTCGGCGTTTAATCTTAGGGGTTCTGTTTGCACTTCATTCATACTGTAGAAGTATTAGTACTGTACTGTTGAGATGGAATTGTTAATCATAGTATACTGGTTGGATAACAGGGTTTAACTTATTCTCGGCCGGTAGGGAGTACTACTTTACTACTAGTAGTAGACAGTTACTAGTAAGGATGACTACAGTAAGTAGGGTCCCACTAAGACGTTAATCGATGATTCCTACCTAAATAGTAATTATTATAAGCCTGAGGTTTTCTATTCATCTTGTTTTGCCGACGTGGCCAATTATGAACGGAGGGATGTAGTTTCCGGATCATCTTGGTAGTAGCGGTAAGAGGGGGAATGTTAACTTTGGGTACTACGTATGTATGAATGTATGTCAGTATGTAACTATGTTGTATGTAGTGGATCCCCATTTAACATCTGAGATGCATATTCGGATGTCGGATATAAGGATGAGAAATTTTGGAGGATGGATACATGGATGTATGGTAGAGAATGTAATCGGTTCCAGTCCCATGGTTTGGATTTTGAGTTTGTCGGCTAGATCGACACGAGGTTCGTTGATTTTCATACCCTTCTTCGGTTGTGAGGGTGTTGGGTCATAAAGATACATAAAGTGACATAAGAAGAGGATAAATGTAGTATAGTATAGTGTGTCATGTGTATGTATCTAGGATGGATCGGATCTCAATCTATGAAACGGAACCATAAATCGAATGACGGATGATAACATGGAACAAGTGGGGAAAAAAAGAGAAAAAGAGAAAAAAAGGTATCGTTTCACTTAGCGAGTATACTGCTTCTGTAGCAACTTGGCAATCGTCTGCAATTGAATGTTGCTGGTTCCTTCGTAGATGGCGCCGATCTTGCTATCCCTGAACATCTTCTCGGCGATACCTTCACGCACGAAGCCCATGCCTCCCATCCACTCCACTGCGGAGCCAGCCACGCGGCCAGCAACTTGCGAGGCATACAACTTCGCCATTGCGGCATCTTGTACGAAGTCTTGTCCCGCTTCCTTCTTGCGTGCCGCGTTGTAGACCAGCGCACGGGCGGCTGCGATCTCAGTGTACGCTTGTGCCACCTGGTGCTGCATGCCCTGGAACTCACCGATCAGTTGGCCGAATTGGCGTCGATCGTTCCAGATATATCTGCGACACGTGTTAGCAATGGAAACATCGGCCATGTTATGACTGCTTTAGGTCCCCTCGGAGATACGAAAGTCCCGCGGAGATATGGAGAGGTGGTGTTGAGGGATGCTTACTGTGCGGCATTCTCCCAGGCGCCGAGGGCCAACCCGGTCATCTGGGCGGCGATACCAATTCGTCCCTCGTTCAGAATGCTAATGGCGTACTTGTATCCCTGGCCTTCTTCACCAAGCAGGTTGCTCTTGGGGATCAGGACGTCGTCGAAGTTGAGCACGCAGGTGCTGCTGGCCCGGATGCCCAGCTTCTTTTCCTTCTTCGCAATGGAGAATCCCGGGGTATCCTTCTCCACGATGAAGGCAGTGATACCCTTGTAACCCTTGCTGGGGTCAAGGTTGGCAAAGACAAGGAACACGCCGGATTCCATGGCGTTGGTAATCCACATCTTCGATCCGTTGATCTTGTACCCATCGGCCGTCTTCTCAGCCTTGGTCTGCAAGGCAAACGCGTCCGATCCGGAGGCCGGCTCCGACAGACAGAAAGAGCCAACGGTGCCAGTAGCCAGCTTCGGCAGCCATGTGCGTCTTGCCTGCGCGTCACCGTACTTCATGATGGCGGTGTTGACTAGGGTGTTATGAACGTCTACAAGAACACTGACACTAGGATCGACGCGAGCAAGCTCCTCAATCGCCACAATCGCCGCCGTGAAGTTCATCCCCGCACCACCGTATTCCTCCGGAATTTCAATGCCCATCAGTCCTTGTTCGAAGAGTTGCTCGACCACGGCAGGGTCCATGGTCTCCGCTTCATCCATGTCTCTGACTTTGGGAGATATTTGCTCCTGGGCAAACTTATTGACGGATTCGGACATTAAGGACTCTGTTTCGGAAAGGAAGGTGATCGGGGTGGGCGTCAGTCCGGACAGATCGACATCCCGCCGGCGGGAGGTGGTGGAAAACGCATGGGTGCTGCTGGAGGAGGATGTTAGCAATAGGTAACGGCCATCATCGTTGAGTATACTGCTATGGTTCTTGTCCTGTTGAAGGGTGGTGACGGCCAAAACTCACCTCACAGCTAGCCTGGCCGACAACGGCGGTCTTACGATAAGGCGGGCGGAGGTAGCAGTGCGCGACAAAGGCCGCAACGCACGGGTAATAGACGCCATAGCGGGATGGAACCGACTGAATTGACTGGTTATAGTGTGTAACTCGAGGCCACTGCAAGACACGCAAGGGGAAGAGAAAGAGAAGAGGAGGAAAGCAGGTGGTGACGGGGAGAGATCACGAGTGAGGAGCGCAGACGGGCCTCGGTTAAACGCGGCCGAGGGCCGTCGATCAGCCGTCTCCCCGTTACTCCAGCTCCTCCAGGTTCAGCTCCATCTCTCCGCATTTAACCACCTGCTGGAGCATATCTACAAGTCATGTCAAGTAAAAGCCATTTCAAATTAATTAAATATCATTCTATCAGGGTCACTATCAACTTGTTTCTGTCAAAATAGGTTCCAGTGCGCCTATCTATAGCCCGAGACATAAACTCCCAACCCCTCCTTCACATGCCATTCCCGCTCTATCAATTATCAAATGCTTATCACCTTTTCCGGCTCAAACACCTTTGCTTGAGAGAAGTAATAGCCTCGCTGGTTCGCCACAATACGCTTCCCCGTTCGACTGTCTGTAAAGTCACAGTTGTAATGCGTATGGCCAAATCCCCACAGTCGCACCTGGGGTTTCTCCCAGCACGCCTCTCCGGCGAGATCCGTCGCGAACGCCGATGATATAGGACTCTTCGCGTGCGCGGGATCCACCGCCAGAGGTGCAACAGTTGGACTGTGATGAGTAAAAATCACAATCTTATGATGAGGGTTGGATCTTGCGATCTCAGTGACCTGATCATTGAGCCAGGCTCGGTCAGCTTCGTGAGCAGCGCAGTGATCCTCGACCGACCAGTTCTTGATGTAGTAAAAGTCATTCAAGCCGAAGCTAACCCGTTCCTCTTGCATCTCGCTGACCCTGGAGTGAAATGTGCATCCCAGGACCGTAAGATCTGGTGCCAGATCATATCGGGTCTGGTCGAGAAGGACAAACTTCCCTAGTTGGTGAGAGCCAGACTTGGTGTTTCGCATCTGTGCTCCTTTGCGTGTTATATCGTCAGAGAACCGCTTCAACTTCTCCCTCACATCCAACCAACTGGAGTGGAAGGGCTCATGGTTTCCCATCACGAGAAAGACAATCTCAAACTTGCGGAGCTGATCTTCTATGAACAGGAGGAAGCCATCGTCCCTGACATTGCCGATATCTCCCAAGAGCGCTAGATATGGTGCTTTTGGCGCAATCTCAAACAAGTCGTATGCCTTGGGATTTTCTAGATGCAGGTCGGAGACGATCTGGAACCGTGCCATTTTTAGTGAGGGGCTTGACCTCCCTAGTCTATCCCTCGATCCCGATTGTTCAGCACTTTAAGCGCCCTTGGCTCCAACAAGAACCCTGCAGCCAGTGGAAAATTCAGGGAGTGCACTGACTGGCTTGTCAAAGAGGGGAAAGAGAGCCACCTCCACTCAACCAGGGCCTTTCCGGGAAGGGATGGGGTGAATCAAGTTGCCGCCGGCCGCGAAGCTGTTCTATTCTTATGACCAGACGGACCACTCAGGCGCCGCACTGAGTACATGTGGCGGTGCGGTGTGATGTGATGAAATGTGGCGCAGCACTGCCAAGAGCGGACGGGGGAGATTATGTCACTCCCCGCTTGGCCGCCATCCATTCATTCATGCTTGATTTCGACGCTCATCGGCCTGCCCGGGGTTCGGGCAAGTATTTATTGCCTGTCCCCCGGTTCTGCTGTCGCATCTCTTCTCCTTCTTCTCTCCTTTACTTACTTTCATAATTTTCTTGGTTGCTGTGGAGAGTACACCATCTCTCAACTTTCAATCTTCCCCGCCAAGCGGCTGTGCCGTGTTATCATCTCCCCCCCGCAAAGTCCTCTACTTGGTAACCACAGGGTCTTCGGTTTCTGAAACGTGTCTACTGTCTATTTTCATAGCAATCCAGTCATGACTTCTACCGTTCACGATCCAAGGCTTCTCTACAGCATCGGCAACATCCGTGCTTTTCACATTCAGAATGGCGAAGAGACAGAGTTGACCCCGTCTGGGCCTCAGACCCTCTCTCTCCTGATGGTCCCCACCAGAACGTCCTCACCTGGCAATTCCCCCTCAGCGCCTCCCCCCGATGCGTCTGCAGAGGAAGACTTTTACCTTCATCTGCATCTGCCACCGGAACTGGACCTAGCGCTTCCTGCTACCACCCAGATCTTCCACCAGTCTCCAGACAGCTACTTGATCCCTCGCTGGGATGTGGGCCCTGATGATGGCGCATTCATTCGCATCCAGTTTCCGGGTACCGGTTCAGGTCCGGGTAAGGTCACACAGGATGACATCGATACCTTTGAGACTATCCTGGCTCAATGCACGGCATTCCTCGAACGCGCTCCCCCACCGAGCAATCATGCTCCTTATAATCCCGCAACTTACGCGCCAGGCGAAGGATATGTTGCCCCATCAGGATTTGCCCAGGATGATTCCCATGGCCGGATCGTTCTTGTGGATGAGGAAGATGGAAGCGTCGTTGGTGAAATGGAAGGGTATGATGTGGTTGAGAAGCCTGGTGTCAAGCCTGGCTCGAAGAGTACGTCTTCTATCCCTCCTGGCCCATGAATGTGCTAACAGTCTTGACTTGATAGGACCGGTGGAGATTGAACTTCCTACTGAAGCCGAGGGTAACCAAGTCAACGTCAGCAATGTCTCCGAGGAATACCTGCGGATGGCTCGTCATCCGGTTTACAAAGACTCGACGATCGTTCAGACCTCTGCGACTGCCTCTCGCTTGATTGTCACCGGATCTTCCTACCTTGCCAACGCTATCACGAGCGGCGCAGAAGCTTTCACCAAAAAGACCAAGCCCAACCCTAAACCGATGACCTTCTCTGACACCACACATTCTCGGATCCGAAAGGTCGGTACATTCTCGCAGGGTGCTGCCGAACTGTCTTCAAAGACGGTTGGCCAGGTGGGTAAATACGCCCAGAATATCGGCGCCTCCCTGGCCCGCCGCAAGGACAACGGTACACAGAGGGGTGTCAATAGGTCCGGGAGCGACTACAAGCCCGGCATCTTGAACAAGTCGTTGATTGCGTTCTCGACTTTGACGGATGGCATCGAGCAGGGTGCTCGCAACGTATTGATTACCGGCTCCAATGCAGCTAGCACCATGATTGGACATCGCTATGGCGAGCAGGCTGGTTCGGTGGCCTCCGACCTCACTGGAGGAGTCAAGAATGTCGGTCTGGTATATATCGACGCCGCAGGTGTCAGCCGCAAAGCTGTGCTGAAGTCTGTTGCGAGGGGCATGGTCGTCGGCCGTATGCGCAACGGGCAGCAGGTCCTCGTTGGCACGGGCGACGGCGGTGATGTCCCCGCTGGAGTAGCTGGCCCAAGTCAGGCAAATGGCCGTGAGCCGGTTGTAAGACGTCAGTCTCCCAGCTCGACCCCTCCACCCGCATATGGTGCACCAGGCACTACTTCATTGAGCGGGATGTCGATGTCGGGGGGCAAGCGTTGATGCGGATGCTCTCGGTGTGTTCTTTCATTCTGATATGGTTTGCTACCCTCTGTTTAATGTATGATTTTATGACCTTGTGATGTCCTGGGCTGGTGATTTCCCGCGATCGTCTGTTTCTGTACTCTTTCGGATGATTTATGACACGTCCTTGTTCATATGGAGATATGATGCAGCCTGATATACGGTGGCACGTCAATGAGACGGAAACAACGGTGACATTCGTTCTTGTCATATACTACGCTAGATCTAGCACTATCCCTAAGACCAACTCTATCTCCAGACTAGTTGTGAATATTAATTCTCGATACCCATCACTAAGTTTGACCTCATTGTTCACTGCGTAGTATCTGGCACTGTATCCTAATTGCCCAGACCACGTCCAGCCTTTCCAACCATATTGGGCGTGATGGTGCTTGGGATATATCCGAGCCGATATCCCATAAGCTGATATCTACATCTTGCTCCTCGTTCTCGCACCAATACCTGTCACCGGGTCCAGTGATGGCATACATTGGGTCTACATCAATCAGTAGTAGTTGTACTGTTACCTGGTCACCATTCTCATGACTGAATTATCGCACCCTACTACTTACCACCATTATCTACCGCAGTAAATATATATATATTAGTATGTGGATCGCATGGTCATCTCACCAATTCGCCCAGAATTATCACCAGCTATCTTACTACTACTTATAAGGCCCAAGCAAGCTACTAAACGAAACCAAGCCTATATAAAGCATCCCAGCACCTCCCTCACGAATTAACAAAAACCACAACCCACAAAAATACCTCCTCAGCTTAACGTCCCCCTTATATAGTCAAAATCTGACCCCATAAACATCGATAAGACAATATGGCCGAGCGGTCTAAGGCGATAGACTAGAAATCTATTCTCTTCGGAGGCGTCGGTTCAAATCCGACTGTTGTCGATATCTTTTTGTTTTTTTCCTTTTTACTTTCCTTCCCTTTTCTCTACTAAGACTTATTTTTTTGTGGGAACTGTAAGTTCAGTCATTGTGTGATTGTTGTGGGTCGTGGGTGGGGTCTGTTGGCGGATGATATCCGATATCCAGTATATCCATATGAGTCTTTTTTTTTTTTTTTTTTTTTTTTTTTTTTTTTTTTTTTTTGAGGTATATGGGGATCATGGTATAGAGTATTTCCATGGCCTAGATATCCGTGAGTGGTAGGAGGTATGCAATATGTGTTTGCTAGTATGTATGTGTCAATGTAGATTCATTGGGTTTATGCTGGGAAGGATGTAGATACTGATCATATCTAGAGTTTAGGATCTGGGTAGGTAGGAATAACTCTCTGGGTTAGGTGTGTATCTGGTTTTCTATTCGGATAAGAGGGAAGTTTGGGTACGACACGCAGCAGTAGTTTTATAATTTGATTGATTGATTGGAAGTATGTGCGATTTATGTGCAGGGTAATGTTGTACACCCTGTATATGTGTATGTATGTAGCTTAGGGGGAGGGGGGGATAGCAATGCGAACATAATGTGCGAATATTGCATAGGTCCTACTTATGGGTTATGAGCAATCCACAGCTACAGTTCTGCATAGTAATATGTATAAAGGGCATGCTATGGTGCTATGCTGCATGGGATTTATTGGGTAGGACAGCTTTGTTTATCTATCCAGTAGTCGATATGGTCATGTTCGGAAGATGCGCGCGAGTCATTGCTTTCCCCCCCACCCCAAAGATGAATGAGAGGATTTGGTATCCTAGCAAGGCTCCTATAATGCAGGTTGATAACCACATACTAGATGATCACGCGATATGTACATCCCCGAGAAAGACCGCCTCGTTCCCGGGGAGATCAAGCAAAGGAAATTAGTATATCTCAGTCCCTGTCATAGTAGTACCCCATAGCTCGATGCAGAGACAACAAGTAATATACTAGGCATGCAGAACATGTTCCACGCGACTAGCCCAAGATAGGGAAAGATCATAACCGTGGTGTTTATGTGTTCAGTGCGTAATTCAGACATCCATGTACAGATAGTTGCCCATCAGACCCCGATTTGGGAAAGTAAACATGGCGCAAATTGAAATTGATTTCTCAGACAAGCATTGATTATGTTGCAGAAGAAGACATCGATAAGGCTGGTAAATTAGATCTCCCCGACAACCAGCAGCAGCAGCAGACAAACAAGGGGATCGATGAAGGGATGCAATTGAAATTATAATTAGATCGCTTAGTTAGTTAGTTAGCTAGAGTTTACTGTAGTTAGTTGTCACAGGCTCACAGCGCATACGTAATTGGGGGAAATCTCCGAAACTCACTACTATCATCGGCGCGATGCTGGGGTAACGAACTGGTCGTCGGTCGTCATGCGGAGTAGATCCGGTTTACTACTTACATTCGAGGGTTACACTGCAAAGGTTACCCAGGCCGCCGAAAGTAATCAATAAGAGTCTCCTTGATTGAGCATGGGCCTTTTTCTGTTTTGTCTTGGTTTGTTTTGTTGCTTCCCTGGGAACATCCCTGTCCAGAGGTTTCTATTTTAGAGGGATTGGCTTGACGGCCCCCCTCTCTCCCCTCCCTCTCGGGTAAGCCAAGTAGACTAGACTGTCAGCTTTTAGATTAAATAGCTGGATGAGGTGCATCCTAGCTGGCAGGCTAAGGTAGCTAGCTGATCAAGGTCGGTTTCAGGTCGGGAGACGTAGGAGTAAGATACAGCATTAGCATGGGGTGGTTGGTCCAATGGCGTGCAAGCTGGCGCTAGTTAGTCCAATGCTGCACTCATGGGAATATCTACTCCATTCCGGAAGAATCCGGTTAGTGTGGTTGGACATGTCGTATCAGTAGCTATCAAGACTGGAGGGCGGAGTACTGTAAGTAAAGTTGCGGAGGATGGGGTTCAGGAATGGAAGATTTATCGAACATGTAGATGGAAGGGAAAAGGACAGTCGATAAGAAAGATATCAGGAAATATGATGATTCATCATCCAAGGGATAAAAAAGGAATGAGGTATGTTCATAGTGCCCCAGCATTAAATAAGCTCGGCCTTGATGGGCAAATAATTGGAGTACCAATCATCGTAAGAAGGACAACTCCAGGGATGGCGGTTATCCCTACCGTGGATAGGATATCCAAGGGTCATGGATGGGGCAGGACCCGAGGAAGAAGAGGAGCACGTAGATGTATTTAGCGCTGTGGTTGGGGGCCTTTCTGTTCATGGTCAGGGACGGGTATGATCCATTGACGTGTATTGTGATTTAAGTTCGGTTAGTTGAGTTAATTAGACTTGGTAGCGATCGGGAGTTCATGAAGCCAGTCAGTAAGTAATAGTAGATTCTGAGAGGAAATCATAACAACAAGTCGAATAACAATCAAAACAGCAAAACAGCAAAACCGACTACTGTAAGTCCCCTGCTAGGCGGTGGTACCTAAGGCAGGTACCAGTGGGCGGAGTGACCGGCGGTACCTGAGGTGTCCAGGACGGTAATCTTCCGTACAGCCAATCAGCAGTTGGGCGCAGACGATGACTGCCCGGTTAGTCGCCGTAATGACGATCGGCTGCCCCAGCGGCTCCAGTAGCGACTTTTTTCGTGCCGGCTTGAAACAGTGGTTCGATGCCCCTGATGACTTGGCGCCTTCTCATGCTCATTTGGTCTCTGGTCTATCCTCTCTCTGGTCTGTCGGTCTGGCTGTGGTGTGCTGGGAAGCTGGCAGTTGGCAGCTGGCAGCTGGGAAGGAGGTGGTGTCGGCTGATCCTGACCACTGCGCAAGACTCAAATTAAGTATACGAGGGCCGCTTGTATTATTATAGTGGTAGTAATCGACAGACAAGCATGCACAAACCGGCACACCAAGCGAGTACGTAGTAGATATTCGGTTCTAGTGAACACTACTACATAAGGTATACGATCGCCCATCCGGACGAATGACCAGACTCAGAAGGAGAATCCCAACGGCCGGTCGAACCAGGCAAGGGACAACATCCACGTTCAGGCCCTTGTTTTAGTGGTTCTCAACTGGATCGGGCGTCCATTGCGCCCTCCTTCTGCCCCATTTTGCATCCAAGAAGGAAAGCGAAGGAGAAAGGGAACAGGAAGAGGAAGAGGGAAAAAGAAAAACAAAAAAGCATTTCGTCACCACCTCGTGAGGATATTAGGTAGCCAGGGAAGGCGGTCATCCCCACTAACGTTCTAGAGTCAGTCGGGTTTTCCCAATTGAAGCCCACTCCTCCGTCCGTATTCAAGGTTTCCATGGTCCAGTCACATCCCTCGCTCCTCCCAATATTTCCGAGGTCCTAAATGCAGCTGTTCTTGATGTAGTTCTGTATGTAGGTCTCTTATGGAAATGTAGGTTGAGGTTGAGATATGAATTTTTTTGAATTGGATTTGGATTTCCAAGTAAAGATAGGGCTGTATTTGATTTAATTTCATCTGTCAGTCATCTCTTGGTTAATTCCTTTTTCTTCCTACTTCTTCTTTTCTTTTCGCGACTGCCATGTTGCGCTTTAACTTCTGGCAAGTTGCTTATGATTTTAAATTGGGGCGGCGATGATTATTCCTGGCAAAGAGATCCGACCCGTTGACCCGCTTTTTGCTTTCCCCAGCCAGCACAGCAAAGCAACGCAAAGCAAATGCTGGTTGACGGACTGGTTGCCCGTTCCTTCTCGCAACTCGCCTTGAAATTATTTGTCCCTGCTGTTTCTCTGGCTCCCCAATTTAGGTGGGAACCTGATTTCTATACTTGACATTTCTGCTACGTACTTCCCGACACGAGGTAACCAGGTGAATTGGTTCACTAACCAGATATGAAGTAGTAGTTAGCAGGTGGCCCCGTCAGAGTGCTTGGGTGGGTGTTCATCGTTCGCAGGAGGGCAATAATAATACCTGGCTTATTAGCTGTATCTAGTAGTAGTCGACTAACTAACTAGCATTATCAAAATTATTATTTTTATTTTTATTTTTATTATTATTATTATTATTTTTATTCGTATTGCTACGACTTCACACTTACCACCGCCATCTCTTCCTCCCCTTCTCTCTATCCCCTCTTCTCTCTTCTTTCCCATCATCATCTCTTTCCCTCCATCCTCTTCCTCTTCCTCTTCTCTTGTTCCCTTTGTTCTTTTTGTTCTGGTTTCCTTCGATTCTTGTTCTGTTCACTTGTAATTCTGCTTCTTGCCTTCGTTTCGGGATCCTCTTCCTTTTAGACGCCCTCCCCCCCCTGGGTCCTTTGATCCCGCCGGTCTTCCTGCTCCCCTCGCGCCGCGCCCCCCCCTGTCCGCTCCCCGATCCAGAGACGGACGACAACTCCACACCAGGCTTCAAGCAGCAAGCACCCCTCTTGTCGCGACGCTACTGCTACCGCTGCTCAAGCAACTACTGCTGGCTGCTGGCTTGCTGCGTGTTGCTGCATCTTCGCTCTTCCCTCTTCCCTTCCATCACCCTCCCCTCTCCCCAATTTCCCCTTCCCTGTTGATCATGCTATTCAAAGTAGCATACACTCTGCCTTGTCAATTCCCTCGGAAGTGTTGAAATTGGTGCCGTATCTGGGAAAAGGTCCAAAGCGAGCTTTCCCGTCGTCGACTGTCCATCGTGCTAAAGTAAGAAAGTGGCTCGTGGTGGTTAATTTCGCGTCTCTCCCGAGGCTGCTGCTCTCCCCTTCCCGCCCGCGTCGGTCTCGTCCCTCCGATCTCCAATTCCTCAATCTCTCGAGCCGCAGCACTCTCTTCCCCCCCCCCCCCCCCCCTCTCCCCCCCCCCCCCTCCCTCTTCAACCCATTACCCACCTGGGTAGCCATTACTCGTGGGAAGAGGCCAAGGTCCAAGAGTCAATTCTGCAGTGCAGATATTTCCCCCCTTCTTGTTGCGATCCTACAATATTACCAGGGGTTCACAAGAAATCAAAAAAAGAAAAAAAAGAAAGAAAATTCAAAATCCACAACAAGCAGCAGCTTATGCGTTTCTTTGACAAACGCGAGTATTGACTAGCTTCCTCTTCTTTATTTTCGCCGACGTCGCTTTGCACTAATATTCTGCTGCTTCTAATCGACCTGGTGTCCTTTATACCAACATCTTTCTGCTTTTGTCGGTAACCAGTACCCTGTCAGTTGTTTCCCTAAACCATTTATCCCTTATCGGTGGTTCGAATGGGACCCCCGATGACTGAGACTGACTCGAGAGACAACAGCTCAGCTGCCCGACCGGAACCCTTTAGCTCCGGATTGATCGGTCACTGTCTCCCCCCCACAAACAGATAGTAAAAAAGAAAAACAACGACGTCCTCTTTTATCTCCCTCTGGAGGGCTTGGACGTGTCGGAATTCAGCTCGCCGATCGCAATTGCTCCATCAGAGCGAACCGAGGTGATCGCTCATCTGCCGTCTCGCGTCTGCCTGAAGAGGCTGTCCCCGGACCGTAAACGCAGCAGTCCTCATCTCAAAGGCTCTGCTGCGTCTTCAATAAACGAAGGTATGTGACGTGCTGCCCTACACTGTTGGCCGAGAATCCACATTGGTCTGCCCCTCCCCCGTGGCTGCTCCTGTCCACATTCCTCCCCGTCCAGCTCCGTCATTCCGAATTATGCGCCGCAACTCCGCTGTCAGCGTCGGCGCGACAGTCGCCGCGATGGAGCGTCACACAGCGCATTCCGTGTAGTGCTAACGGCTCAGCAGCTAGCCTCCTCTTCGGTCCTGACAGCTTCTTTCGGCTATGAACGACTCCCAATCGCAGTCTTTGCCGCTCACCACCCATGCATCCCCAGCCTTGACACCCGCAGCGCCGTCCGAGCAGGACAACAACCGCTCTCCCGTTTACCCCGACCTACTGGGTGCTCCGCCCGTCCCGCCGCCGAGGACGTCGTCAACCCACCGCGGTCACCATGGTTCGAGTGCAAAACCCTCCTCGGCCTCCGCCGAAAAGTCCTCGAGTTCTCGTCACGGAAAGAACAAAGCCGATGACCGGAGTGCAAGCCATCGTGAGAGGAAGGGGGAGGACAGCCAATTTCGCCCGGTGAACATGCCCGAGGAATACCCGCAGGGTACGAGCGCCCACGCGCCGGGGGCACCGTCTTCGGAGGATAATATGGAAGGTTATGCAGGCCAGGGCGAGCTACAGAAGGAGTCCAGCGCGGTACTCAATCAGGTCCTAGTGAGTGATCCGTCTGTGGACATTGAACGGGAGCAGGTCCGGCAGGCCGGCTCGTCGGTGTCCCCATCGACGGAGAGCGCTCCAGCATCCGGGTTGGGCTTGGTGGGAAGCGATGGTGTGGATGATGGAGGTCGAGGTGGACTACGAAGCCGGCACGACTACTCGGATCATGCTGTCAAGCGCAAGGAGACGACGTTTGGCCAGTACATACTTGGGCAGACGCTGGGTGAGGGCGAGTTTGGCAAGGTGAAATTGGGGTGGAAGAGAGACGGCACCATACAGGTAGCCATCAAGCTCATCCGCAGGGAGTCTCTTGGGTCGAATCCTAGCCGGTTACCCAAGATCTACCGCGAAATCTCAATTTTGCGTGACCTCGCTCACCCGAACATCGTTCGGCTCCACGAGATGGTCGAGACGGACCGTCACATCGGTATCATCATGGAGTACGCCTCTGGGGGTGAGCTCTTCGACCATATTTTGAACAATCGGTACCTCAAGGACAATGCCGCTCGACGCCTGTTTGCGCAACTCGTTTCGGGTGTGGGGTATCTTCACAAGAAGGGTATTGTCCATCGTGACTTGAAATTGGAGAACCTGTTGCTGGACCGGAATCGCAACATTATAATCACCGATTTTGGCTTCGCGAATACGTTCGACCCCATGGACGAATTGGGTGATGAGATCGAATATAACCTGACAAACAAGGAGTTTGTTAAGCGGATGCGCTTGGACAGGCCCAACGCCAAGGGTTTGAGGCGAGGTGATTTGATGCAGACCAGTTGTGGAAGTCCTTGTTATGCCGCACCGGAGCTCGTGGTCAGCGACTCGCTCTACACTGGGCGCAAGGTCGACGTGTGGAGCTGTGGTGTGATTTTGGTGAGTGACCGTTTCGTATCATAGTCATTGCAACGCGCTAATTGGTTCATAGTATGCTATGCTCGCGGGATATTTGCCCTTCGATGATGATCCGGCTAATCCGGACGGTGATAATATCAACTTGTTGTACAAGTACATTGTCACTACCCCTCTCACATTCCCGGAATACGTGACCCCCCACGCTCGCGATCTTCTGAGGCGGATCTTGGTGCCTGATCCTCGGAAGCGCGCAGACCTGTTTGAGGTGGCCCGGCACAGCTGGCTCAGCGAGTACTCGCATATTGTTTCCCACATCACGAGCAGCACGACCAAGGTTGCGGACATTGCCACAACCACCGTCACTCAGGGTATGGATCTCGCCAGGAATCCTGCAGGCTCTGCCACTAACCCGGTGTCTCGGGCAGAACCGCACAAGGAAGTGCCGTCGCTGGCACGCAGCGCATCCGTTCGGGAGCCTCCGAAGACATACAACAATAGCCCTGTTCCCTCGGTGGGAGGACTGATCCACCATGCAGGAGATATTTCCCAAGAGCAGGCGGCCGAACGGTCCAAGACTCCTCGAGACACAAAACGACGAACCGTGCAGGTCGAATATGTTGCACCTCAGTCTCAAACTGCGCGGGGCGAGGTCCCTACCGGAGTAGATGCAGGTATCGCGGAGCCAGCTGGGCCGTCGGAGCCTCGACCAACGAGAGCCAGGTCGAATAGTCGACCCATCGTGCCTAATATGCCGTCGGGCACCCTGGCCCGTGATATGTCTGGCGCGTCCAACGTGCGGACTGGAGAGCCAAAGGCAGCCGCTGGCCCGGCGCCGGCACCTGCTCCTGGGCACTTGCCTCGCTCAACGTCCGATACTTCTGCACTCACTGGGACGGCACCAACATCTGCGACCCATGCCACCCGCCCCACTACCGGTGGCTCCATGGCCTCGTTCAACGCCGGTCGTTTGCCATCACGAGGCTCTTATGGACAGCCGGTTGCGCCAACTGTGGCCGCTACGAACGCCCAGGGTCGGCTCGCACAACCCAAAAGCAAGCAATACGTTATCTCCGCCCCTCTCCAGCAAGATTCGTCGTCCCAACAGTCCATTGGTCAACCAAGTACACAGCAACTGCCGGCCAAGTTCAACACGACACCCCGACAAGAGCCCCCGAAGGGCCACAAGCGATCCAACACGGTATCAAGCATTGGCGAGAAGCTGTTTGGCCGCTCTGGTTCCATTTTTGGTGGCCGGGGAGGGCAGGGTAGCGGTCCTCGACAGAAGAATGGCAAGCGTTATCCGCCTACGAGTATGAAGGAACCATACGGTGGGGATGACACCCGGATGTCGATGGATTCGCGACGCTCCATGCAATATGGATATAACCGCAAGACTAGTGAATCTGGCGCGGAAGGCCGGCCCCGAAGGTTCTCATTCCTACCGCCATCATTCTCCCTAAAGGGATTCTCTTCCAGCAGATCGCAAACCCCTGATGAAGAGTCGCAAACAGACCGTTCGACGGAAAACCGGGTCGAACCACGTCCGTCGACCAGCGCAATGCAGGCGCGCTCGCGCGCAGCCAGCTATGGGACACAGGATGCCATCGGAGCGGCGCCTGAGGGTGCTCCGGGAGACGAAATCCTGACCCAGGACGAACCCATCAACTACCAGGCCCGGATTGACCAACAGTTTGCCGTACTACACTCGAACCAATCTGGAATATACCAGCCGACCTCTTACAGCGCGACCTCGGCCGAGCAAGTGTACCAGAATGAGAATGATCATTATTATCGCAACCAGTACGCCAACCACTCGGCACCCAACCACTACGAGGAATACTCCGCCCCGTATGATAAGACGCCACGGCCGTCAATGCAGGCTGGTCGACCTGGACGAGGGACTGGCGTCTTACCCAAGAACCACCGGAAGTTCGCAGACGCCTACGAGTACGAACGCGACTTGGCGCACCGGCCTGGCAGCTCTGGCGCCGCCAGAAAAGTAATGGATTTCTTCCGTCGGCGAGCCAAGTCGAGAGCCGGCGATGACCGATAGGCTGGCATTCTTGGTTTTGGAGCTCATCTACTAATATCTTGTCACACTACAACACACTGAACGCGACATAGCCGGTCAGTGTAGAATTGGTTACCGCGGTCGAACAATGACGAATGACAAGCAGTCCCCGTCTCATTACCTGCTTGCGACTCGGGAATTGAACGTATGGCAATGCCCAGGAAGGCGACGCAGGTGCTCTGGCATTCGCCGCAGACCCAGGATCCTCTCGAAGTGAGGACGGGTTCGCCGGAATGACGGGTCTCGATTGGAGCCTCTTAGTTTGGAGGCGGCATTTGAGGCGACCAGCTCTTGGAAATCGGCATTGAAGAGCAGAATGGTTAATTGGATACCCCCGTGATACCCACGCAAAATTCGTCCCTTCTGTTGCTTGCAGCTATCGAATTGTCCTCGCATTGTACCAGCAACCGTTTGTTCCCGCATACATATCCCTATCTCGCATTCGAATTTCCCCTGTTTCCCATAAAGCCTTATTTCCTTTGTTCAAATTCTTGTTTCCTTTCCCTGTCACTATAGTACTGATTGTAAATTGATTTTTTTCTGACTCCCCCATTGATTATTGCGCTTTTTTTCTCCACTTTACTTCTTCTCGGACGTGGTGTCCTTGGTGCTACGGCTATTTACATTCCTATTGATCAGGATTATTTTGTGGTTAATTTAATACGTTTCTTGTGATCACACAACACGGCCTCTGTCGATTTTGATGTGGTACTTGTTTTGAACCGGTGGTGAGGATGACTTGGTTGGAGCATTACCAGTGCATTGAGCGCATGTCGATTACCCTAGCATCTATTTCCATAACTTCATGCCCTTGGGGGCCACAATTCATAGTACAGTGTGTGATCCACAACCCTTGATTGATAGTAGTTGGGGCTTTGCAGAATCCCTGTCTAGCGTGAGCGGATACCCCATCTATTTGCCCGCATCTATTGATAGTAGCGTAGCTGCAGCCAACTTCGCCCATCAAAGAAGTAAAAAGAAAGAACTGGAGTCGTGGCTTAGACTTATCCTTGTCTTGTCCTCTACCCCTCTTTTCATCCCCACTATCTATCTCAACATCTACAGATGACATTCTCAGCTGAGGCTGTACCTGAAACTAACTAACGAGATCCCAGCGATAGCGATGATCATGCAGCCACTGTTAAGTCATCTGCCGTCTCTGCACCAACTATATCTGAAACAACCGCTGTGCTTACTTACTTACTTCCTTCCTTCCTTCTGTTGCGGCATTTATGGATCTACTAGTCTAGTCTACTTGCTTCATACCCTGGCTGGCTGTTGGGTCATTGACATTGGCACATGAGCGAAACAATTATGTACGCTGCAGTAGATCAGATTTTAGGGCATATGGATAGTTGATAGAGGAGATTCATTATAGATTTGGACCCCAATGTGGTTGTGTTTCGTTGGGATGGATCGATGCATGGTGTATGTAGTGTGGTGGTGTGGATAGTGATGAGGGTGTGTATGTGATGTATGTCAGTCAGCCTTGCCAGTAACTAACTAATTAACTGGCCCCCACGGCAGTTATGTATCTACTTAGTTACTAATTGCTCACAAGACACATTACTATCCCAGGTGTTAGACTAGACCGATGTATGATAATGATACTGATAATGGGTGTGACCTGGATTAACACAGCGAGATAAGCAACTATAACCATAACCATGCATCTATCTACTGAACGCCATAAGCAAGAGTTCAGAAAAAAAAAAAAAAAAAAAAGAATAGAATCAAATGATATTTCCAATTGACATGGACAGAATACACACTCAGTAGTGGGCAAAATGTTCAAAAACAAAACGATATGACAAGAGTGGGATTCGAACCCACGCCATCTTACGATGATCAGGAAGCTTGAATGAAGCTGGGGTATTAAGGTGGACCTTAACCTGACGCCTTGGACCAACTCGGCCATCTTGCCTTGAGATGATATTTCAGTGCGGATTTATGCTATATGAGTCTAAACATGGCAAGGTGTATACAGTCAGGTCTACGTAGGTGGTGTGGTTTGGTTTGGTGGTGGGTTGGTGGTGGGAAGAATTGACGGTATTGTAAATATGTTAGGGTAAGTAGCTTAGGACTACTTAGTTACTACTACATTACTTATGGGGGAGGAGTTTCGTTGATTAATTTGGTAGTGGTAAATAGTACTAGGATACATGATTCAGATCGAGGTGGGAATCTCATAATGCCTAGTAGAGATTTATATCAAGAGCACAGTATAGAGGTCATTGTCAACATACTAACTGATCGAAGATGCAGAACTATCTTTAAATATCATCCGATAATATTACTAAAACCCACAGAAGCGAGTGGCTTCGCTCATTGTCCCCGATATGCTCTATAATCTTCTTGTGGTGGTCAGTGTGGCGGCTACAGCGTGCCGGATCGCTTCATTCCAGGTATGGCTGGCCAGGCATGAAACGAGAGGGAAGAAGAGAAATAAAGTCGGATTTCGATGAGGGTACTTGGTAAACCAGTAGGAAACAGACGGATAAAGAGGTTGAGGCCATGTGCCGTGTAGTAAGGTTACTACTAAGCTTCTTAATAAGGTACCTTCATCCTTATCGCCGCCTTCATTTGTGGAGTAATAGCGTCGTCTGTGGGTGCTGTCGTTACATTCCAGGGTTGTGTTTTGACACTAAATGCCGTTCATTCAATGCCTATAATGACTTCGGTGTCCAGTGTGTATTCTTTCATCAGTCGTCAAGAATCGCAGGTGTCCGATGAGTATTGATTAAACCCGCTATATTTTTGTTCCAAGCAGCCCAGCCCATACTTTGACAATCTCGCCTTAGTCTTACGCAATATGGTTTTGTGTATGCCACATCAAAGGGTCCTTGGTTTTATTCTATTCGGCATGTATTTCGGCCGCGGCCCATAATCATTATTGCAATGCTGTCCGCATGTGCGTTCCTTTTGTAGTCTTGGTGCAGCCAACCACAGTCGGCCATCGCTGCCTGCCTGCGTGCTTCAAAAGCGCAGCCATAGCACATTGCTTCGAAAGATTTAGCATGCTCGAGGCTGCTATTCGCATGGGTCCAAAGTATATCTATACCCCTGGTCCTTTTCTCTGAGTCCCAAAGAATAATTATTTGTGCCACGTGAGGAAGTTCTTCACCTTCTGCTGGGAGACATGTATTTCGAGATGTTACATGCAAGTTTTGCAGCCACAAACGGCAGTCGGCCAATGCTGCTGTTGTGTGCTCCTCAAAAGCCCGGTAATAACTCGAAGTTGGCCAAAAAGATCTTTTCTGTTATCCATTCCTGCGCTACTGCCCGTGGTTAGGGTCTGGCCATATCATGACGGGAAAATATCAAGCATCATGTAAATCAGCCCGTCGGCCGACACCTGGAGATATGGGCTCCTAGAGAAGGGTCGATTTGATAGCTTGGCCCATACGTTCTGCTGTTGTGAAACCGACTATATGACGGAGAATCACGCTTTTCAATCATTATGGTATTTCTTTCAGCTTTGTTGATAGTATCGCGGGCCGGATATTATATAGACTGTACCGACGCAGCGATAGCCTTGTTTGCAGCATAACAGCTAGAACATTCGCCTATCCAGTTTCGATGCCTTATTGGCAAAGGCATACGTGGAGAAATAAGATAAGCGGCATAACGCCCTTTCCTAGTGCTAGAGCAAACATCAGCATATGCACTCTTAACGGGCCGTCTCACCAGCTCCAAGCAGGAAGATTACAAACTTTTCTTGATGGCTAAAACGCCTATCCCTTCGTTGTCTTGGTTTGAAGTGTCTCTTCTGGACATGCGAATACTCTAAATATGTATTCGACCCATTTTAGGTTGGATCAAGATAGTACCAATTACTTCTGGCATTCGCTGGTGGGAGTAACACCATAGTAAAGCAAATGCAGTAGCTCAATACTATGAGCAATGTATTGTATATGGTATAGCCATATATCATATTAGGAAGAGATGCTAGTCATTCGTTGTACTCTTTCTAGCCAGATGGCCCAAAGAATCGAGTGAAGATACTACTATATAGCCTTTATCGAGCATATGATGGTTTCTCGGTGAGATCAGGGAGATGATAAAGAAAGAAACATGAGAGGCGAGAGAAAACTGGCTGTTTATATACTACAGGACCGAGCAGCGATTAGTCGTGAATCCGGACCACATTGTGAATCTGTATACAAAACTGTGAATACGAACTGAGTACGAAATGAATCCTATCTCAACACGGTGAGGCAGTCAGAGAAAGTAGGGAGGATAAACATCACTACAGAATGCAGTAACGGCAGATATCACATCACTCAACTAAACAAAATTCACATGGCCGCTCATACATACACGAAGCTGAGACGAGCCCTACTTGAGCCGCATCCGAAGCCGTTGCGAAGGAATGACCTTGGTTGGCGTAACTTCTAGCGCCATTCAATCAGGCTGTTCAGAGTAGATAATTAGCTATTGAAGTATATTTAGAAAGTTTTTTATACTCCGTACTACACAGCCTTAAACTAGCGATATACTAAAAAGCTCACCTGACAGTACTAGATGGTGCGTCTGATCCTATCCCGGTAGAATATCTCGGCTTTTTGCACCAATCACACACTGGATCTGCGAGACTTCGGCTATATTGAAACCACTACAGAGTACCAAGTAGTTAACTAACAGCAGTCGCTTGCATGGTAGCGATGAAACCAGACAGATGCTACTTGTTGACTAATTTGAACTAATGTTGCTGACCATGCGTGCGACCATCACACCCCAACATCAACATAAATATTCCAAGACGGGATGTTAACCTGGCATTATCTAGTTTAGTAGGATACCCCCCGAGTCCGAAACACGATTGAACATCCGATTCCGACCCCAAGAGATGATACAATCGCAGTGGATCCTAAGGTGAAACTAGCGCGAATCACGCAACTCGGGCTAGAGTACTATTCAGCAGACTAGTCTGAACTATCGACACCGGAGGATTACCAAGTCAATGATGGTAAGGGTCTGCCCCAATTTACTTTTCAGTCCACTGATATTACATTAAATCAGAGGGTATTACATGAACAAGGCAAGATGGCCGAGTTGGTCCAAGGCGTCAGGTTAAGGTCCACCTTAATACCCAGCTTCACAGCTTCCTGATCATCGTAAGATGGCGTGGGTTCGAATCCCACTCTTGTCATTACCTTTTTTGCTCTTTCCTACACCGATCGATATGATATGTCTTATTGTAGACGTGGGGGAGGTGGCGTGGCTGTTAATCGTTTCTACATTTACCATTGTCATCCATTTTTTTTACCTTTTCCCACTTTCTCGTCAGCCAGCCACGGACATATACCTTAACATGAGCGTAAGCATAACCATAAGTAAGCATAAGCATACCCTCCCCCCACCACACCACATCATCCAGTCCAAAACAACAATACCAGAAAAGAAACCTACTTATTTCTTATGTCATATCATCCCCATCAATAGTTAGCTGCCTTCACCGACCGGAAATTTACTACAGGAAGAAAGCAAACGAATCAAGAAGAATCAGGCAGAAAAGCAAGTAATAGATGATCGTCTCGGTGAAACACCGTCCGTCCATCCATTCACCCATCCACTTGTCCATCATCCTGCATCATGACAATTAAATCCGAGGGGGAAGGGGAGGGTCGTAGCTCGGATAAAAGGGTTATTTACTACGTAGTATAGTAGTATCGTAAACATAAGCTCTTCCAATCATGGAGATAGGCAGGTAGGTAGGTAGACTGGAATATCCAAGTATGTCAGTAGTATGTGTCATGGACAGCCAAGTCCGGTGTGCAGACGTACGCGGACATGCATATCCGGATGCATTTGTTTCTGTATGTAGTATGTAGTATGTATGTAGGTGTGGGCTCGGTTAGAGAAGGAAAGGGGATGGGGTGGTGGTGGTAGTGGTCATTGGGATGATAAGGAGGACACTGAAGGTGTGTGTCACCATTAGACATATGATATAACTCGTTATCAATATTACTATAGCAGATGGCTATTATGCTTAGATGGGTGCGTGCGTGAGTTTACTCGATTTGGTAATAGGAATATAGCATTGGTGGGATCATCGTATAGATAGATGAACAAACCAAGGAAAGAAAAAAAAAAGGGCAGTAACAATAAGAATTATAGCAAGTGTGGTGTAGGAGTTAGGCTGAGTTGGGTGCAGCAGCAGCAGCAGCGGATGTACGTATCTCAGCATCCGGAGAGGCAAGTTGCAGTTCTGTGCAGACCCCGTGACCAGCACATCCATACTGCAAGTTGTCACCGGGGCTGGGGCTGGGGCTGGGGCTAGATCTGAGATCGCGCCGTTCTGGTCTGGTCTGGTTCAGAAAGCATAGCATACTAGCTGCCATGGCCACTAGTTATCTCTGGAACCCTGTCGGGCCCTTTTACTCCGACGCATGGACGGAGTACGCCGTACGGTGTGCAGCCATGTTTAATTAAACTAAATTCAGGACTACTACTAGGTTCAGGGTTCAGCTGCTCCTCTGTTTACTTTTTTCCCCTTCTTATCTTACACCGTAGACTACAAGGCAAATCATTCAAGGGGTCACGCTGGCTTGGCAGGTCCGAAAAGGGTTGATCGGCGGAATCTATCATTGCTTGGCTGTGCAACAGGAACTACGGTTTATCTGATGGCACAATGCTTGGCACATATCAATGGACCCTTGGCAGTCATTCAGGATTGTCTGGGCAGCGCGGCCCAGGCAAGGAGTATGGTATCATTGTGATTGTGCAAGAGGCTATGAACATGAGATGTAGACTTGGCGTAGAGTAATATTGGTAAAAGCAAAAGCAATGAATCTTGCAACCCAAAAAAAGAAAACATCGGGCCCCGCACTTCGTTTCCCCCGAATGGTCGCTCGTCCAATAACGTCAGATATCCATGACAAGAACTAGTAGTGATCTTCCTTCGGTCTGCGGGGTGAGACTTTAGTCCCCGTCAGACGATGAGGTGCGAGGCAAGGAAATCGTGTCCAGCGCGATTCGTCGAATTGAAACTGCTTCTATTGCCAAAAGCTTAGTTGCTGGGCGAAGCGGCGTCGCGAGTGTCGACACCAAGGTAGAGGAAGCCGCTGGGGAGACGACTGAATCCAGGGCGCTGTGTGGTTCCGCTGGCCGTAGAGGACTGGCTGCTGGAGCGCTCACGAACCTGTGTCGAGGCAGAGAGAGGAGCCGTCTCGGTAGGGGCCAGGACAAGGAACTTGGAGGTGGGGGTGTAGGAGTACATGGTGATTGATGGATGAGTCGGACAAGGAGTCTTTGGAAGTAGGTAAAATGGTAGAGTCTTGAAGTGACTTGGAATCAAGTAGAGAGAGAGCTTTTCTTGCAGAGTTGCTTGGAAGAAAGAGGATGGATGAGCACTTCATCGGCTGGAATCGGCCACCCTTATATAGCTATGGCAGAGCTCAGCCAAGCCATTATCGCAGGGAAGAGGGGTTGACCGGAGATGGTGTCGATCAGGCGAGCTACCGATTCTAGCCCAGCTGCAGAAAGCAGATAAGTGGAGGGACAAGCAGTGGCTTGCCTATTCCTCATACCCGACGGTGGACCGGGACACGCTGTAATTCACATGCCTGCGAAACGGACTATCACAAAGGAGGGGCTGAGAACGTCATCCTTGAAAATCCCCCCTTCCTTTGCATATCTTGGCTCTGGCAATAGTCATACCCGAGCAGGATGCGGTGGACGATCTGGTTGGACGAGCTGGGCCTGGGGGTCCCCGACACAAGCATCAGGACCGCCACGACTCCGAACCCAGCCTCGGATGATCAGCAACCAAGAGCCGTGGCCAAGGCACTATTGATTGAGACCGAACCGTCCCGTGACGAGTTCTGAGGAACGTGGGAGGAAAGAGGCGATAAGAGGCAACGTCAGGAACATAGTGAGTTTTGGTCCATTCTTGGGGAGGAAAATGAAGCGGGCGTGCCAAGTCGTCGCCGCATTCTTTTTAAATAGTCTTTTCCTGTGGGTTTCTGGTGATGTTTCCCCAGGCCACATGACCACACCCCGGAATTCCATGGTTGTTTCCCGCTGCTGCAATTTCTTGCTTCCCCTCGGAGATCGCCTTCTAGAATTCCCTTCCTCGGGAATTCTTGACCTGGGCAGCTACATCTGCTTCTCAATTGAAATGATCCGAATATTTCCCCCCTTGCTTGAAAGAAGCCAAAGAAGCCGCTAGAAAACAGCAGTGCTCGGGGAGAAGACTAGACCACGGGGTTGAAGTCGGAAGCTTCAGGGAACGGGAAGCTGGGAATACCCGACGGGCGGAGATGGTGGTCCGGGGGAGGGTTCCATGGTAAAGGGTTGAATTGAAAGGACTGACTAGTGGACAAATTAATGCGACTAGCAGGTTCCCTCCTTGAAATAAAAACGAGGCGTGAGAACGAGACGAAGGGAGTCTCTGGAAGGAGAAACAAAATCCAAAGAAGTATGAAGCCAAGCAAGCCAAGCGGCTCAAACCAGCCCGGGATCACGTGGCTGACATGAGCTGCGCGCAAGAATCAACCACAGCGACTAGAAAACCAAGCCCCCTACAGGAACAGGCCAAAACCCAGGTTCAGGCCAGGAACCATCGCGCGTCGGTCCCATCACCGGCGCCGTTCCCCCTCCCGGGAGCCAACGGCGGCTAAAAGATGGCCGTGCCCGCTGGTCGAAACCTGTCGACCGTCGCCGTTTTAGCGCCTTCGGGCCCTGCGCCGTATCGCCCTGAGTGGCGCGGCCACTCAGCGGCTGAAAGGGCTCAGTGAAACATGCAGAGGCCCATGGAAAAAGCGCCGCAAGTGCTGTGCCGACCTTGCGAACTCCATGTTCTCGCTGCCTCAGCCCGATATTTCCCATTCAGCCTAGCTGCTGGTGGTTGATCATGGAAAATCGATAGGCGGAGACGGTCTGGCTGGCACTGCCGATTTACTCCAGTAAGCCTCGGCCATGGTAGACAGACCTAGCTCACTATCACACCAACGCCGTAATCCCCCAGTCCCATGGGGGACTAAGCTAAGCACCGCTCGCTTGCTGGCTCGCGCTGATGTCGCATAACTTCTGGCCCCCGAGCTATTCCCAACAACTGGAGCCAAGAGGAGGGAAAGGCAGTCAGGCTCTGTGTTCAGGCTTTGTGGATGTCACTGATATCACCAACTGCGTCAAGGTTCTGGGGCTCAGACATTGGCCACTGTCAGAGCTATGACCCAACGTGCCTGTGACGGCACAGCAGTTCTTGCATGTTCATCTCTTTAGCTTCCGCATGTCGGCTCCGGGACTCTGACACACCTTGTTGATCCCAGCGACCCGCAGCAGGATGATGTTTGACGTGGGAAAGGATGCGCTTTTGGGAACTGCGGCGACCCCTGACAGGAGCAGGTGGCTCATGGATCAACTAATCCTGCGCAGCCTTCTCCAGCCAAACAGCGCCAGGTGCCAAACGGTCAGACCAAGCTGGTGGGGGTGATTCCCCGAACTCTGATATCGGCGCGATCATATTGGACTGCCCGTGGCCATGCCAATCCTGGTTCCTCCACTCCCGTTCAATCCGGTGTCGAGGACACATGATAGCGAGAGAACAGTCGCCAGATGTGCGCCTTGATGAGTGGATCTGGTCCTCTGTGGTCTTGCATTCGTCAGATGCTTTTGCCCGGGAATCATTCTAGACTGCAGCATGACCCCCTTCGCAGTCGAACTACTGTTGGTCGTCTGCGGGGACTGATTTGATAATTGAATTGTTGGGTTTGCGCCTGCATATCCTGACGGGTCTTTCCCTGCCGCAGGAAGGACGTGTAGATGTGAAGATGATGTCAACCTTCCCATGATGCAGCAGCGGAAGTCTAATGCGTTCCTTTACCCCCCCCACCATCCTCGAGAGGCTCACATCACTTTCGGCCGATGCATGACCATGCTAGTCAGATACACGTTCATTTTCCTATCTTGGGAAAGATGCCTTCCCAGGCTGATCCCGGATGGGGGTGATCTCAGGCTTTCTGATTCGCATAGCCGCCAGTCCGCTGGGAGGGAGGGGGAGCATCATGGGGAAAGCCAAAGGCATTGAGATGCGGATGCAGACTGAATCATATGTTGGGATTCTGTTATATTAAAAAATCACTTGGAAGGATGATTCGAGTGTGATGTAGATCGAATCACCAACTGATTCTCCGGTTCAACGGCTCTATTGGTCCGTGTTGAGGGAGGGCTGAGCCCAAAAAAATGGGAAAAGAGAACCGAGTGCAGGGAAAAGAAAGGAAGAAAAAGCAAGATGCAAGCCGTAGTTAGTTTCCCGTTCCTTGCCTAACCTTCTTCTGACGGTCATTCATCCATTCATTTTTGACTCTTTTTGCTGCGATGTGATCACCACAACCCCCCGGAACTTACCACCACTGCCACAACAACACAACAAATGATTTTAATATTTTATTTTTTTTACTTAACCGCCATTTAATTTTGCATAGAAAAATTATTTTCATTAAACGTGATTGGCCGGGTTGAGTCACAAACTGGCCCTACGCCAACTGAACAATTGTGGGCGTAGACTGGCGTTGTTGCGGCACAGTCAACCGCAGTCATCTTTATCATTTGGGATTCTGATTCGAGACTCACCACCACCACAACCACACTTACTGCTCCTACTACGGACGTACCAACGCTTGTTACCACCACCACTACCGGTCAGTAGTCCAGGAGACTGCATTCTCAATTATTTAAAGCCCCCTTCGCACTCCCCCATCGGACAATCAGAACCATCATCAATCCATCAAAGCAATCAAGCAAAGCAAAGCAATCCAGCTAGCTCAGCTCAGCCTGACCACAACTTCTCAAACTTCACTCTTCTTCTCACAATCTTCTACTTTCTATCTACTTCTACTCCCGCGCTTTCTAAGTGCTCAACTCTACGAAAACCTTCAAATCCACCAGTTTCAAGTCCCTTCTCCCGTCTTCCTCCCGCCGCCACTATGTGCTCTCAGTACTTCTTCAAGTACGACTGCGGCTGCACCGTCGCTGAGGGTGATGTCGTCTACTGCGCCAAGCGAGGGACCTCCTGCACTGGCGTCAGACACCAGATCCGCCGCCGAGAGGGCTACAACTGCCCTAACCACGGTGGCTAGATAGTTCCATGCTATGCCCTTTTCCCCTCCTCCTCCGGGGGGTGGGTGCCACAGGTTAGTGAGTTGCCGAAGATCCACTCGCGCCTAACTTCCAGCCCCAGATCCATCCACAAAGGGAAGGGATACGTTCGTGAACTAACGGTTTCTGGCTCCAGGGTTGATTGCTACTCTACCTTACTAGCTAGATTGAACGGCATAGTAAGGTAGTAAGCAGGTATGAGGAGAGGAAGAGGGGGGGAGATGAGATCCAGATATGGGTTGTTTCGATGACAATGGTTTTTTTTCTACCCATTATCGATATCCGCACTCGTGTGTGTCTTGTCTGGACATATGCGCGCGAGACATAATGGGGGCGGATATTAAGACAAAAGTGACAACCGGATCTGAGATGGGGACGGACGGTTATCTGGCATCTTCTGTTTCTTTTTTCGTCCTTTTTATCCTATTTTCCCTTTTTGAGTTTCAGTTTTCGATTTCATATTTTGGTTCCCTTTGTTCGCGACTAGCCTGTTGAAAATTGCAAAGAGAAAAAAAAAAGTCAGAAAAAAAAAACACCTGGGAGGACAATCTGAAGTTTTGAATTGGCATCACTCGCACCTGATTATCTTGTTTGTTTGTCGTTTCATCTGTTCTCATTATCATCATCATCTGTTGTTGTCATTGAGATCATTTCGGTTTTCTTTCTTTTTTTTTTCCTATCTTTTTTTTGTTTCACCATCGTCCTCATCGCCGCACACACCCCAGGTTTGCATCATCTGCATAAGTTAGTCAGTTCGTTAGTTTTTGTTCTTATTCTTTTTTTCCCTTTGCGTTTCATACCACTTCCTTCCCGTTCCTTCATCTATTATTTGATTTGACTTGATCTGATTCGATTCGTTTATTATTTTCGGGAGGCACATGTCGATCATCAGGAGGGAACACTAACCCCATCATGCTTATTATTATTCCCCCCATCATCCGCATGTCATTGTTGTTGTCTTATGTTCTTTTCCCGGCGGCATCTTGTCTCTCTCTCTCTCTCTTCGATAGTATTTCGCAACTTGGCATTGCGCTGCATTGGGGTGTGTGCTTTGCTCTGCTGTAAAGTGTGGAACTCTGTTGTTGTTGTTGTTGTTGTCGTTTGTTTGTAACTACCCAGTCATTAGTTAGTTTGATTAGTTTCGCTTGTTGGCTTTATGTGACGCTCATTTTATATTCTTCTATATTATTTATTCAGGTATATTTATATATTGGGATCTGAGTAGATTGATGTGATTTATAGCTACTTACGTAGTAGGTAGTACATCAGATGACATTTTCCTTTTACCCACTACTGTTAGATAGTAGTAGTACTACATCTCTAGTATCGGGACTATTTAGTTCCTACTAGTACTACTTATTGATGGTAACGATCATGATGATGTTCACGAGATGTGGATGCCTTGCTGGTGCCACCCTCAATTATATTATTTTAACTAACTTAACTTACCTACTTGTTAGTAATCTCATACTACTATATTAGAGTGTCAGTAGTATGTGGTGCAACTTGATCATATGGTTTGATGTGTGCAAGACCCTCCTTTTTTGCCCCCTTCATTCAATTTAATTTCACCTCCACCTACATGATTTGGTTTCACATGGGAAAAGACAGAAGAAGATCAATGCGAGGAGAGAGAGAACACACAGACAAAAAAGATTCACACCAGCGCGGCAATTCTGTCGGACCCAAAACCAACTACTGACTCGGAGGGGCCGACTAGACTACTAGTAGATTATGACAAGACCCATCCGGCCCATGGAACCATGGTTGACGGCGCTTAGGTGTGACAAATCCTCCACCACTGCTGCCTTTGTCGCCCTACCTCCTCGTGGCGCGAGTCACCAGGATGGGGAATTCCTCCACATCGATGGTTACGTTTGCCGCGCAAACCATTGACATTGCTGAGGAAAATTCCCGGAATACTCTCGGAGATACTGGGGAAGGATGCTGTTGATTCTCCTTCCTCTTCCATTTTGCACCACAATTTTCATCTACGATTTTCATCATCAGGTGTATAGGGGAAAAAGTCTCGCAGCAATTTTGTGTGTGTGCGTACGCGGAATGCAGATAGGCTCCAATGGGTCCTCCTACCCTACACGAGAGGGGGGGGAACCAACTAACGAGAAAATTCTCCTCGACCCTGATTAGCACCGCACATCACCGGCTGCATTAGCACCGCATACGCTTTTTATCACCTGATGTCCAACGGGCAAATCAGATGCAGAAAATGGGGCACAGACGCGAGTTGTCCGGTGGCAAGAGATGCTGACTGGTGCCAACGAGTCTCGCCGATGGATGGGGGGTTTCGGAGCCAGTAAGGGTAGGAACTCCGCGCGTATATCGGGGATTCTGAAAATCCAGTGCAACTGGGGCCTGCCAGGCGCTAGGTCGGGGTTGCAGTGTCCAACGACAATGCTTGAAAATTCGAATGCAGTGTAGCTGTGCCCCTCTTTTTCTCCGGCTTCGCAGGCGTAGAAAAGAAGAGCACAGCGTCAAAGTGATGGGGGTGTACGGTTTCTGGAGCATTGTTCCGACCACATGAGGAATCAGTGTTGTGTGGCGTACCCCCTTCGCGTCTTCATGTGTTATCGGCTGCTCTGTTTCTGAGAGAAACGCGGGCATACGGCACTTGGGTCGGCTGGGGGGGTGTGAATTAACAGGTTGTTAAACCTGGTCAGGCTTCAAGGCAGATACCGGGGGTAAAAGTTTAAAAAGTTACAAGAGAGGGGTCATTAGCAAGCCAGGTTTACCTGTTCATCCCTTCTATAGAGGGGAAAGTCCTTTAGTAGGCCAATAGTAGCTGGTACTAGACTCGCCAGTGTTGGGTCCCAGATAGCCTAGCTCAGTCGTGATCGAGCCGCGCCGATGAGTAGCACTTGTTGGTCACAGTATTGTTGTACGGCGGTCCCAGAGCGACCCCTGGAGCAGCAGACCTGCGCTGCCAGTGTACACCGCTTGAGTAATGCTCAGAACAGCGCCGCAGAGCTGTGCCATCACCCTTAGACCGGCGATGGGCGGGAGGGACCTGGGGAACCAGAATGCTGGGACAGTAAACCTAAAGCGGTGTGGGCACCGACTGCGCCGCTCAGGCCAACCAAAACTTGTACCAGGGTCAATTGTAAATCCTAGGAAAGCCAGCATTCAAGTCTGGTCACTGTCAGGCTCCATTGTGACCGTTGGAGGCCAAAAGAAGGCATTGTGGCAGCATTGGATTGTCGTTGGGGCATTGATGGCGGTCACGTTTTTGAGATCTCACGTGACGCGCACCAGCTGTGAGAACCGCCGAAGCGCGACAAAAACAAGCGCCAACTCCGACTCTCCGATTCTCGACGTCACCGACAAGAAATGGTCTGGAAAAACTAATCGGCCTGGTGTTCGCTTTGTTTCAGGTTCTCTTCCAGGGTTCTAGAACCAATTCTCGAGTCCCTTCTTTTCTGTTCTCTCTGATATCACCCACGGATAGAAGGCCGTTTTGCACATGTAATGTCCATAGAAGTTGACTGGGGCGCCGCGACCTCCGGTCCCGACGGAGAGGCTCTGGCCGAGCGCATCCGCTCTTTCATTCATGACAAGTTCCAGCAGGTTGCTCTGCCACGTTTTATCCGATCAGTGCAAGTCCATTCTTTCGACTTCGGGACGATTCCGCCTGAGCTCGAGATCAAAGACCTTTGCGAGCCGTTCGCCGATTTCTATGAAGAGGATGAAGATGATGAAGCGTCTGATGTATCCGAGGGACTTGTCTCCGGGCACGGTTCGCCGTGGCATGGAACTCATCCAGAGCTCAATGAATCTTCTTTCCGCGACGAGAATGCAATAAATCAATCGCTGCGTGATCCTTTCACCGAAGGCTTTCAACCCTCGGCCTTGCGGTCTCCCATAGCTCTTAGCGACCATCTCAACCCGCATTTCCGCTCCGGCACTCCTGGTATACCCGGAGGTACATCGACCCTAGGCTACCATCTGATGTCACTTGGTGGACTTTCAGGAACGCAAACACCCCTTGCTGCAGTTGCAGGCGGATCCCCGTTCGCAGGCGGATGGAATGATTCTGGGATGATGGGCCCTGGCAATAGGGGGCGTCCACCGCCTCCAATTTTTACTGCCCACCAATCGCGTCCGGAAGCCGACATTGACAGCAGTAATCCGACTTCGCGACCATCAACATCCAGCACGTTACCTTCTCATCCGTCCGGGTCCAATAAGAACAATGGTGATGGAGCAGGTGGTCCCGACCATGGATCACACCCCGAAGAGCATGGGCATTTAGATGACCCTACTTCGGAAGAGCCTCTGCGATTTCCTCGAATGAGAGAGCGCCGGCCCGAGGATTTTCAAGTCCTGTGTCACGCCAAATACGCGGGTGATGTGCGGCTGTCATTAACAGCGGAAATTCTTCTGGACTATCCCATGCCCAGTTTCGTGGGACTACCCTTGAAACTAAATGTTACAGGGATCACGTTTGATGGTGTTGCAGTGGTCGCGTACATCCGCAAGCGGGTCCACTTCTGCTTTCTGTCATCCGAAGACGCGGACGCGCTGATTGGGTCTGATCAGCCGGATGTAGGTGCTCAAGCCGAGTATTCACGGTCTGGCGGGGATGCGACCGTCTCTGCAAAGCGACAAGGTGGACTGCTGCGAGAAATCCGAGTTGAAAGTGAGATTGGCCGGAAAGAAGATGGCAAGCAAGTCCTCAAGAACGTCGGCAAGGTGGAACGGTTCGTGCTCGCACAGGTGCGGCGGATATTCGAGGAGGAGCTCGTCTATCCTAGTTTCTGGACATTCCTGGTCTAGTTGCGCTGTAGATATGGGCCGCGGAAGAACATTGTCAACTCGCATTGGTCTAAACCCGTGAGGATTTAGGGTTTGATCGACTATTTGAGTCCTACCGTGTGCTCCAGACCGCCTCGAGCCCACCGATTTGTCAGAAACAGGCACTAAGACTGCAGTGTTTTATATCCAAATTAGCGCATGCATCTCTCCTCCCTAGCGATTGAAGAAACATGCCTAAACTTCCTTCAGGGGCAATGTAGCCACAAACCTCATCGCTTGCGGGAAAAGCGTTCCTGGCACAAATCCTTCCTGTCAGACCCCACGCGCATCTCTGTCATACCTGCCAATCATCTTCACAACTGACTGCGGTATTGCCACCCCCTTGTTTTCTTGTGACGTAGCCCAGTCAATGTAAGTAATTCTCACTACTACCTTATACCTGGTAGTGGCAGCCAAGCGAAATCCAGGTTCCACACAAGGAGACCTGATGACCACCAGCCCCATGAAAAGTACACCAAATTCATAGCTAGCCAATCTCTCATGAAGCGAATGAAACAGACAGCCAACATTGGCTACAGTCCCATTACTCCAATTCCTAGTCTAAGACATATAGTTACCTGGTCATGCCAAGTTAGCTGACATGAACCCAACCGAACTCTGCAGACCAAACCAAACCTCATGAACCTGTGACAGGCCCACACACCTCGGAACGGCCCCAGGCGGGAAGAGTAGGGCGGGAACCAGTGGATTTTCTTCACGCCCTCGCTTGCTCACTCACTCCATTCATTTATTGTCTTTCTCTTCATCTCTCGTCAGCGGTTTATGCCTTAGTGAGTGGGGGAGTCTGTCAGCTGGTGTCTACTTGACTTGTCTCTAGGATTTAGAGCAGGTTAGGCGTCAGAATTTGAGGGGAACATTGAGGGATTAATGGCTTAGCTGGCGGTAGCGATTGTACGATGTAAACAAAGCACTTATCGTTCATCGTAAGGTGAGACTCGTCCGATTGCCATGATTATCTCACTGTGAGGGGCGTGCGTGGGGGAGGGTTGTTGCAAATGATCTTGGGGCACAGTAATTGCTGTTGTTGCTTCTCACGGAGATGAGGAAAGGTATGTAACTTTCTTGAAACGAGTAGAGGAAGATTTTGGCTCTGGATCATTGTAATTGGGCGTTGATCGGAGTGTTCGAGTTCTGTGCTTGGTTGTTGTTGTCTCGAGGAAGCTGCGGTGTTGGTCGAAGAAGAATGATGGAACTGCACGCAGGTACTTCGACGTGATGGTTGGTCTCTTTCTACATTGGGCTCTGATCTGAGAGCGGATTACTACTGTATTCTTAGCATATTGTGTATGGTATATAATTGTATCCATGGCGCGTTGCTCTTCTGTTTACCAAATGCCTACAGTTCGACATGGACAGTGGAATTTTTGCTCCATTGTAACTTATAACCCAGATAACCCAGATACTTTCAAGTTTCGCAATGACAACTTCTTCCCCGAGAATTGCACCAGTATGATTCACTCCACCAATGCGCTCAAATAACAGCTAGTTCATCCGACCACCAGGTGGTCGTTGTCAACATTCCGTCTCATCCAAACCCGAAAGATATGGTAACCGAAATGCACATGAAAGGGTAGCTTGCAGACAGCGGGATGTTCTATCAATCAGCCCAAAAAAGGGATCAATTCACAATCCCGGCTGGCCTAGCAGGCTGACGATTGTATTCCTTGCGACACACCCAAGAGTCGTCTACTGGTCCTTCTTGGGAGCCTCACCCTTCTCACCCGACACCTCATCACCAAGCTTGTGGTACTCGCGGGTGAGGCCCTCACACTGCTTCTTCAAGGTCTCAATGTCACGGTCCTTGGCTGCGAGCTCCTCCTTGAGACGGCCGATTTCACCGATTTCACCGGCCTGCGCAAGACGAGCGGAGTCCTTACCGCCAGCCTTCTTGTCACCCTCGAGGAGTCTGACTCTGTCCTCAAGACGGAGAACATCGAGGATCATGGTGTAAGTGCGGTTGAGGATAAGAGACAGGAAGAGGGTGAATCCACAGAGGTACATGTTGCGCTGCGAGTAGAACTTGCGGGCCTGGACTTCCATACGATCGGTACCGAGAGCGGCGGCTCTGTGACGAAAGCTAGGTCAGTAACTGTTTCAGTGCAAGGCTATGAAAGGGCTTGGATCGTCGGAAGCATACCCCATGGTGCCCCCCTCTTTGCCGAAAGAAGCCAGCTCCAGCTGCACACGGTATACGCGGTTGACGCTATCGATGAAGAGGATAAGGATAAAGATGAATGTGATCTATAGCTCAATAAGTATTTGCAAATGCAGGACAATGCCGAGTTACATACCTTTAATCCATATTGTAATTTAGCTACTATCGGACTTTCCGAAATGAAAGCGAAGAGCTTCCTCTTCACGGTGAATGGAAGAGGAATGATGAGGCCCATGAAGACCGCCATCTCAAACACCAACAGGCAAAAAACCTATAAACATGTTGTAAGCATATGTTGATACGACATATTATCTGATGGCCCGGGAGTGCGCGGGTCAGGGGCTGCAGGCTGCAGGCTGCAACAATCCCGAATTCCATGCCATTGCGAGGAAAGTTAACAACGAATGGCGATACATACAAGGCTGTAGTAGAGAGTCATTGTGTCTAAGATTGTAATTCAGGTAATCTTCCGACAGATGCTTCAATATGCAAGTTTGGCTGGAAAACCAGCTGTGGTTGTGGGGTTTGTTGTGCGAAGATAAACAAAAGTACACGGTCACACGCAAGAAGAGTTGAAGAACCCGAAAGGTCGAGCAGGCGTAGAGCGAACAATGTTTGTCGAATAAGTTCTTCTAGCTAGTATACTGGCATGAACAGTGCCAGAACAGAGCAGGAAGGTTAAACAGTTCAGGAGATGAGGTGGTCTTTTTGCAGTTTCTGGTGAGAGGAAGACGTCATTACCGCCCGGAGCTGTGATCGTGCACGTGACTATGTCGGCCGCGGCTCAGCCTGCCGTCTACGTCATAGCAACAGGGTTAATCTAAGGTATGTATCTAGTTCTCATTGACTGCATATGATTGCTAGCTGTGGTATGTACATCATCTATATGCGTTAATCCTAATCTAGAAAGCATGTGCTTAACCCTCCGCTTCGTCATACGAGTTGGATTTGTGCTTCGGCTCGAACTTGAAGTCCTTATGAGCCGGTCCGAGGAACATCTCCCTAGAAGGTTGTTAGAATAAGTCCGAACACTGAACTTGTTAGAGGAGGGTACTTACGAGATCTTGAGCCAATCCTTGTAGTTGGCACTGGCCAGCAGTGTCTCAAGCTCATTCCGGCCTCTGAAAGCCGGGGGCCGGTCGTTGATGTAGGGGGGAAGATGCTCGAGCAACCCGATGGGTACATAGCGACGAGTGAAACTCAGCCATTCCATCAAGAAGCGTCTAGTCGTACCGACACCATGCTCATCGGATCCCCATGCCTCCAGACCATACTTACAGAACTTTTCGATCATTGCCAAACGTTCCGTAGCTGACTTGTCAAGGTACTGGCCCGCCTGGATTTCCTCGAAGAGCCAAGGCTTGATCAAAGGACCACGACCAAGCATAACAGCATCAACGCCAGCATTGTTGATGTGGTTATCATAGTCAACATGAGAGTAGCAGTCGCCGTTGCCCAGGAAGTAAACCTTGCCACCATTTGGCTGGGTCCGGGCATCAGGCTCCCGGATGGTATCCGTCACCGCGTCAGTCTTCTCGTTCAAGCGCTTGATCAAGGCGGCACATTCGGAGATGTATTCCCAATCAGCTTGTCTGGTGTAACGCTGCTGTCTGCTACGACCGTGGAGAGTGATAGCTGCTGCACCTGCGGCGCCGTCGTGATGAAGCAGACTGGTTTCATAGCCTCCAAGCAGCAAACGCTCCGTCAGTTTCAAAGCATTCGGATTGTTGTCCTTCGTCCCCATACGGATCTTGACCGTGATAGGGATCTGATCCGAAACAGTGTTCATGCCACGAATGATCTTCTCGAGCTTCGACGGGTGCTCCAAAAGAGCAGAGCCAGCACCATCCTTGAAGACGAGGTCAATAGGGCAGCCACAGTTCAGATCGATGACACGCAGGTTGGGCGTAACTTTAGCCAGTGCCTCTGTAGCCTTGAAGGCTTGCCAGGGCTTGTTTGCTGCAATTTGAGCACCAAACTTCATGTCCTTGGAGTTATCATAACCCTGTACGATGTCTGCCCCGGGCAGCATCGTGGGAGGGAGCATCTCCGACTCGTGGGCTCGCATCAAGGCCCACTCCGACTTGTTACCCTGAATCAAAGGCAAGCTCATGGCCATCTCAGAATAGGTGAATTGTGCGCCAAGCTCGACGCAGAGTCTTCGAAAAGGCATGTTGCCTTGGGTAGTCAAAGGCGCCAGTGCCGGTGTCTCGGGTCCGAAGTATAGTCGGCGCTTCTCCGACGGCATGAATGGAGGCTCAACGTACAGAGCCCGGTTTTCCTCCTTTTCGTCTTTGTTCTCGGCATCCTTGGTCTCTGCATCCTTGTTCTCGGCATCTTTAGTCTCTGCATCCTTCTTCTCTCCATCCTTGGTCTCAGCTCCTACAGGCGCGGCACGATGGCGCTTGTGGAGCTCCCTCTCAATGGTTCTAGATGTGTTTTCCAACCAATTACTGTACGGTCCAGCTCTCGGGAAATCCATCTTTCTCCTTGCCAAGGCGATCTTATCCTCCATCGAAGCAACATTGACCGCCCCATCCTCTCCAGCAAAGGGAACAAGCCGCTGAACCTTCTTCTTGCGCTCCTCATCCTCAATAAGAACCAACTCTTTCCTCCCATCGGCCGTTTCACGCTCCTCCGAATGTGAACCGACAAAGCGACATTTCCAGCCCACAAAGCACTTTCCGTTGATATCCCAGACAGGACATACACCATTGAACGTCGTAAGATCTTCCCGCTTGTGTTCCTTCAAGTATTTCCGCAGGTCATGCTCGTACCGACACTTTTCACCGAAAGTACACTCGGCAGGAGAAAACTCAGGCCTGAAGTTCACACTAGAACACAATCCCTTCGCATCCTCGGATCGACCGAACGTGCGGTTCGTATTCTGACCAGTCTTCTTCTTCTTGTTCTTCTTCCCGTTCTGCTCATCGGCGCGCCCATCGTGGTGCG